TACTTTGTTTCCTTCAAACAGAATTACCACCGACTCAGAATTTCCGAGCCGGTGTGCGGCCATAACGGTGGGGTTATGCTTGTTCACTAGGAACCGAGTGATCTGTTCCTCGGGTTCCTCTCTGCCCACTCCACTTATTACACCCCGTGAGGTGTTGTCTGGGGTGCTCTTATACGCAAACGTTTCATACGTGCGTTCCTCCACCGTGATATTACGGATCGATCCGTAGCGAAAAGATCTCGCTTCGCTAGGAGTGCTCAGCACTATAATGTTCTGGGCGGCGTTCGGCGCAAACGAATCGTCCTCCGCTTCTTCGATCTTAATGTTAGCCGCTGTTATGATGGCTGTGCGCAGCGTGGTCATTTTGGTGGCACTCACTACGAGTCCCCCACGAGGCCTAATAACCACGCGGTGTTCGTCTTTCTTGGCGAAAGTAGGCATGCGGGCTGACTTTGCCATATTAGCGTTCACTTTCGCAACGTACTGCGCTTTCTGTTCGCGCCTACGCTCCTCCTTCAACTTAGAGTTCGAAGCCGATAGAAACTTGCTCGGCTCACCTGCGGTGTGGGTATCCCGCTGCGATGGGCTGCCCGTTTTTTGCCGTTTCTTCTCGCGTCGAGAGGCCACTACGGTCCAACCCGCACACGAGTTCGGCGGGTCACAGTCACTGTTCACCGCGGTAACACACTGTCCGATGCCGGTGGCGGTCGGAAAACCGTCGCCGATCGTCGTCGAGCAGTCCCCGCTGGCGTCGAGTCGCGATCCGGTCGGTTGTTCGGCGGCTTTCTCCTTCGCGGCGGTTAGGCCTAGCTGGCCATTCCGCCTCTTGCGAGCAGAATCTGCACTTATATCCGCTGCCGAGGTGTCCATAGCTTGGAATTCTTCGTAGTGTTGGTCGTTCTCGTCGTTCCGAAGCCTGGCGAGCTCTGGGGAGGCCTCCAAGGCCGCCTCAAGTGCCGCGCCGACCGAGCACATGGTCGGAGCGAAAGTAGCCGTCGGTAGGCATAGCGGGGCCTCGCCCGCTTCGCACATGAAATCGCTCTAAGACTCCCAAAATTGGGTGAAATGGCCCAAATTTGGTATTGACGTGGTCCACTCACCGAGTTGATCACTCACGTACCAAAATTAGTCCTGTAGGGGTCGATGGTCCGCCGAAAATTAGCATTTCCTACGGAGCCGATGTGAAGCATGACCGCTCGCTCCGTGCGCTCGCAGCACGCTGCCTCCTGCACGCAGAGTGCTCCTCCTCACCGTGCCAAGAGAAAGAACGGCGAGCGCACGGCTGAAAGCGGACAAACGAGTTCTCTTAAATGCGAATGCATGTCTTAGTTGGGCTATGTCAGGCATTCGGCATTGTCCGCAGGGGGGTCCGTATGCCGGCAGGTGTTATTCCTCCGCTTTCACTCCCTCTCTCATAGCAACAGCTGCGGGCGCGCGCGCTTATTCTCGCCCCTAGCAACCAGAGCATGTAGTGAGAGATTGTGTAGGAGAGGGTAGGAACAGCGCTTCGCCGCTCTTGCCATTCACTCTCTCTCTTCTCTGCACCCCACTTTCCCATCCGCTCGCTGGCTGGGCGCCTCTCAAGAGAGAGAGAGTAAAACTTTATTGAAGGGGAAAGGGAGAGGGGCGTTTTAGAGCCTTTATGGTTGGGGCCCTACGTCCAGGGCTCCACTGGCCTTAGCCGCCCGCCGGACTTGATCCAGTAGTGCGAGCTGCACTCCTGGGTCCGAGCTAGCGAGGTGTGCCTCCCACTGCTCCATACTAGGTGTTAAAGGTTCGCCGAGAAAATTGGTTATGTCACTTGGTTTACGATCGCACCCCCACGATATGTGGTAGAGAGTCGGTCTTCCGCCGCACCACGGACATACAGCCGGGTAAAGAGTTGGATGTATCGCGTGTAACTTCAGTAGGTGCGGAAATACATCCGTTTGAATTTTTCTAAGGTCAGTGGCCTCTTCCCCATTAAGGGATCTGTGAGGTGTTCCACATTTTTGACGCGTGAAGCGCTGGTGAGCTAGAATCTCCCTAGGTAAAATTGGCATGGTCAATGAAAGAGATGGATTCTCCGCTCGGTTACAAAACGCACGAGCTAGAGCGTCCGCCCTTTCATTGCCTTCGAGACCTGCGTGTCCCGGGCACCAGATCAAGCGATGGTGGTGAGTGAGTTTGGATCCTAGCAACCTCAGCCCCATTGCTGGAAGGCGGCCCCTTAAAAAGAGCCGGCAGGCTTCCTGGGAGTCGGATAAAATAACTGATGGCTCCCCTCTACGCTCCTGAAACCTTAAGGCTAAGGCTATGGCCATCGTCTCCGCCTTTGTAGCCGAGGTCGTGCGTACGGAGGCACTCGTTAGCAGCGTCATGTTGTTGTCGACAACAGTAATTATGTGTCTCTGCCAATCGAAACTGGCCGCATCGACGTACGCGACATTTGAAGCTGAGCCGAATTGCTTTCGAAGCCAGTTTACCCTCGCAGTACGTCGCTCAGCGTGAAAGTCGTGATGCATATTTTTGGGCACCGGTGCGATTGAGATTCGCCTGCGGACCTCTTGGGCTACGTCGACCAGCTCCTCATCAATGTGCTGTGGGTGGGGCGAAATTCCTATTCTAGTGAGTATCGCCCTGCCTGCTGAAGTTTCACTTAGACGATTCCTCTGAGACATGAGGACTGCGGCACTGAGCTCAGCATAAGTGTTATGTATACCGAGAGCTAGGAGCCGCTCGGTCGGTGTGCTGGTGGGTAGACCAAGTGCTGCCTTAAAAGCGCTTCTAATGAGCACATCCACCTGGCTCTCCTCACTTCTGTCGAGTGAGTGGTACGGTAGGCCATACGTCACTCTGCTCAAAACTAAGGCCTGGACAAGCCGGAGAGTATCCTTTTCTTTCATGCCTTTTTTATGATAAGTGATGCGACGGATCATTCTAGCTATCTGTTTAACCGTAGTCTTTAAGGTGGTTATCGTGTGACTGGCTTTGCCATTGCTTTGGACCCAGAAGCCAAGTATACGGGCCTGAGTAACCTCGGCTATGGCATGGCCGTCTACCTGTAAGTTTATGGCACCGTTACTTTTGTAATACTTACTGTGTATTCTTATGAGTTCAGATTTTTCAGGCGCACAGCTCAGCCCACTATTTCTTGCGAACTCTGCCACAGCTGTCGCAGCAGCCTGGAGGGTCTGCTCTTTCAGCGCCAGTGAACCCTTCGTAGCCCAGAGTGTGATGTCGTCCGCATACAATGTATATCCAAGGTGCGGGATTGCTTCACAAGAACATCAGGAAAAGTGTGCTAGAGATGCCGCTGTGAAATGCCACCGCTGAGCCGAGAACGCTGCTTGTTTTGTTCACTTCATAGTATTTTTTAATCGTGCACGCTAGCAACTAGAGCTGGAAACGCATGGCACATTTCTCGCGACAAAAACATGCCACGTGCGGTGAACGGCACTATTGGCTGCACTACAAAAAAAAGCATTATTCTTCTAACGCTGGGTTCTCGCGTGTGAAACGACGTTATGGGCGCTACTCGATGCATTCGCATTTCCTTATGATTCTCTTTGAAGAGGTGGAAGCTTTTTTTTTTTTTTTTGTGAATGACATGACTAGACACGCATGTTGACGTCACGGTCAGCGCTGGGAATTATTGAAAGGCTCGGAGAGTAGAAGGAATCGTTTTTTGAAATACAGTCGCCGACCGATTTTTCGGACCTGGCGGGGACCGAAAAAAAGTACGAAAAATCGAACAGTCCGAAAAATTCGTTTTTGCCAAAAATCTGAAGTTTATTGAATCAGGCAGGTTTAAAAAAAGTCCTTGATGCTGCCTTGCCTCAAACTACGCTTGGAGGCAATTTGGTTTGCCCGTATTTGCGCCAAGGTGACATCGTCGCTGTAAACGCTCGACAAAATTGTCACCGCGTTGGCGATCTCCGACGGCTGCGGGCGGTCGTCGTTGTCATCCGACGACAACGACGACCGCCATCCGGCGTCGACCGTCATCCAGCGACATCTAGCTGCGAACGTCCACTCTCTATTAGCTTGATTGTGGCAGCTTTCTTCTCCATCGTCAGGGTCGTATACTTCCCACGCTTCTTCACACCACCTGGCTCCCGCGATGGCACAGATAGCGGAGCCATGGCACCGAGAACACAAAATTCGATGCCGCAGATAGCCGCTGCGCGACGCTACGCGACACAACACGCGCAGAATGGCGACTGAAAAAAGCTGCAACGACAATAAAAGAATCCTTCTTTCGCCTCCTCCCCGTGCGATGTGATGACGATAGTGCTGACCGAAGACGAAAAAACGGCATCCATCACCGCGTCTTTTAAAAAACAAACACGGCCTCCGAAACTTAAAATATGGCGTGCGCATTCCAATCTCGGAGGCAGGAAAGGCATCTGAAGACCAAGCTTAGCCAAGTCGACGGAAAATCCAACATGGCGGCGTTCACATGGTTTGGGGCGTGGCACAAAACGAGCGATTTAGTCCGAAAAATCGAACTTTCAGGGGCAAATTCGCCCGAAAAATCGGTCGAAACAATGCATTAGCTCTATGGGATCCCTGACGGTGCATTTATGAAGTCCGGAATATCCAACAAGTTCGAATTTTTGGAGTCCGGAAAATCGGTCGGCGACTGTATGTGGAGCGCCCGTGGCTTGAAACGCTGTCGCGTTTGACATTGTTTCTTGTGAAGCCATCCCGAACGCAATATGCGCGTTTACTTGGAACGTTACTTAGAAAGAGAAAGAAATAACACTTATTTGCTCCCGTAGAGAATGACGAGGGGATGAGGTTTTGGCCTCTGCCCCCGTTAAAAAAATTCGCAAGTGGTTTAGGGGTCCTTCAACACAAACCAGCCACACTTTCCTGATCAAGCCAGTAGTAACAGAGGGTGACGAGAATGAATTCAGACACTAAGGTGGTATCGTAATTTCACTCGACAAGCACTTATTACTGAAAACTTGGTGAATGGCTGGCAAAATCATGGCAAAAGCAAAGCAACAGACATCTAAAAAATATTAATTAACATGTATTTATTCATTATTCATTACAAAACGGCCTGCGGGAAGTACACGCGGACACCACATGTGGCATTGCGTCAACACACATTTTTAAAAATCTACTCGTTCTATAAATATAGAAAAGGTAACAAAAAAAGACATCTACATTTTGGTGCACATCACCGTAATTACCATAGCTAACTTCGTCAGCACATATCAGGAATGAACACTTTGTAAAATATCTGCTCAATACATTTCTGAAAGTGATCGACAGATGTTTCTGCACAGGTTCACATATTTTGTTCTAAGTCACCAAATTGCAACAACACAAAATGGCGAGGCAGTAAAAAAAGAAAAACAATGTATACGGCGAGAAAGCTTCTTGACGCGCAGCATCTCAAAAGAAAAAGAAATAACATTTGATTTTAAAGAGAAGTGGTCCCACAAGCAAAGACTGACGAAATGGCGCAAACTCATATATTAACGAAATATGATCTAGTAATTCTAAAATTGGCATGTTACGAAACAACACTTAAATGAAAACAAAGACACGCTGGCATGTCAAGATGAAGCAACAGAATTGGTGTGACTATACCACCACTCATTAGATTGCAAGCAGCAAGACGATCGCATAAACAATCATATGGCCTTTCAAGATTGTAACGAAGCCCGCAACACCCTGAACGAGCTATGAAAGCATGACTCTTGCTTTGACAGACCAACATTTTCTACGTGGCAGTACCAGTGGACTGAAAACAATATAACCTATACATTGGGAAGGGAAACAGCAGCAATAAAGGACACGTTCATAAAGTTCATAAGCACACACGCAGAACTGACAGGTTAATATTGGAGCAAATAATAACAAACACCAAAGCACGCTACATTCAGGAGATGCATCTCTGCAAACACGCAGAGTACTGGTCATTCCCCTAATTCTCATTTAAGCTTGCAAGTCTCGTCGCTCCTTCCAATGAAAATACTCTGGTTCTCTTCCAGACAGAGAGCTACTGGTGCACAGCTTAAATATTGTACTTTCCCTTGCCCAGAACATGAAAAAGTTGACAGCGTTGAAATGATAACTAAGGCATGAGACAACTGCAGTGAAACAGAATTGAGCGCAAAGTAGACAAAAAGGAAAGTGGGAGTGACATGTGGCATCTATAGAGTAGCAAACACGCACAAGCTACATGGTCAACAACAGGACAGGTCTGGCCAGCTACCAAACAGCTAGATTCCTAAACTAGATTTACAAAAGCGTATAACGTAGAGGACCATGTATGTAACTTATGATAAAACAGAAGGTCCCTAATATATGCATCTACAGCACACATCTAAAAAGCAGCGCAGCCTCAGTTTACATGAGTATAGTATAACTCGCACTGCATGCACTTTGAAAGTTATCAAAATCGTAAAATAGAAGCAACAGAGAGAAGAGTCTACATAAAGATTATTTGAAATTGTAGTTATTGACAAAATGTTTGTACGCTAGACTTTTCTGGTAGCATGCAAAATATCTTGGCTCAAATTAACATAGTGCAATTTGTGGAACAAATTTCAATAACAGCGTAAGGAGGAAGAAGAACGATATGCAAAGATATGCCGTAGTGGACCACCACCTTAGCCTGAAGAGCCGAGCATAAGCTGTTATGATCGGTGCTGTGGTTTTTGTGCCAATTGTCGCCGCCCACTATCTGCGTCTGTAAGCCTCCTGCATAAGTTCTATACTTGTACCAATAAGTCCAATTTCAGAGTGGTAGTGGCCCACTACCGTTCATCTTGCTTACAACAGCAAGTGTTAGAAATGTTTACACTGCGTCTTTAGGGGCATAGTGCACCTAAGATCTCCAAACTTAGTATAGAGCTCGTGCACAGAAATTCAGTTCATATGCACTACACCGAATGTGGCATTCTTATGTATACAACGATGTTACGAATGCTACTTACACAGTGCTACATCTTGCATTTAATAACAACACCAGGTAGTCCCGAGCACCCGACAGCAGTGCAAGGCATGTCAGTTGGCGCTTTGCTCATGCAAATTTACACAGACCACAGGGCCATGTGCAGAGGGCTGTGTGCAGATTTTGGCACATTGGCCACAGGGCCATGTGCCGAAATCGTTGAAGGAGGTTGGTCACGCGCAGGAAAAAAGCGCGAGCTTATTCTGCGCGTTTTGTAGCCTGTTGACTGGCCCTTTAAATGAGAAACATTAGAAATCAGCAAACAAAGCACACATTTTTGCATAGAGCATAGCTTGGCTTATCTAAGCATTCAACCCAAACACAATAGCCACCAGGCCAACAAGATGCTGACGTGTTTTGTGTAGTTACCCAGTGTGGACTCATTTCACAGCTTTGTGATAAGACAGTGTGACTTGTGAAACGTTCAGAAATATCTCGTGGTTGTGAGAACTTGTGACGCATGCCTCACATTTGGTGGCAAGAACAACATCAAGGGCCTAGAATACAAACCCTGCGGAAAGAACGGTCACACGCCAATAATTTTTCACCAGCTACATCTGTGGGCAGCTGTAGGGCAAAATAAAAAAATAAACTACTCGACTGACGTGGGTCATCATGAATGAGAGCTGCATGAGAGCGACTGATGTATGTAGGTCATCATGTGAGCTCTTGGAATATGCGTACAGTGCAGTTCATTGTAAAACAAAGCACACAAGTGCAGAGCATGTGCAAACTTCCCCCTTTGGTATGCATTCAGCTACCTAGATTCGCAGCAGATGACCTGTGATTAGTGGCACCGACATAGCTTTTTTTACTCCCGCAATGTAAGAGTCGAAGTTAAGCTGGCTCTTATTCACATGGGATTCCCTTTAAAAGTCTCGTGAATTACTTTTTAACAGTGAATTATGCAGTACATAGCATGCCCACCCACTACATCGACACCTTATTGCCCCTTCAAGCAATTGAAAATAAAGAGAAATGTTCTCGCTCGCATAGAAAGCTCATCGTTACAGTCTCAGTGCTAAGCGCGATACTCCACTTGATGTATTAGCTGTAAGCTATCATAATGACCAGTAATGAAAAGTGGAAACCCTTCCATCAATGATTATACGAAGCTTAAATAACCAAAAGCACAAGTCTGCATTAGGTTGCAAATCTTACCGCCGCATTACCACCAGATCAGAAACTATCTCAAACTAAACTTACAGCTTATCAACTATTCACTACTGTTTAACACCGACTAGCATTAAACAGGGAAGGGGTGGAACTGCCATGCAGAGGGTTCTGGTATAAAAATGGTTGACGAAAGCATGGTAGATATACTGATTCCCTGTGAGTGCACTATAAGCCTGCTAAGTAATCTACTCATGAGCACTCATTTCTCCCAACAAGCCAACTACTACGCCTCTTTGTGGAAAGCGTCATCGATACAGTCTGTTTCACTGTCCCTGAGATTTAAACTGCACTTAGATGTTGCAGTTGTACATATTACGCATGTGCTTACCTGTGAATGCACATATGACGAACTTGCACATGCAAGAACAACATAAGCAATTACCATTACACTGCATAACGAAGCAAAAATTACAAACTTTATGGCTTCCTCCATGCAAAATGCACATGCCAGTTTGTCAGTTACAACTGTGCATGAAGCTTGTAAAAGTTGAGTGCTTGTAATAATATTAGGATGGCATGCTTGCTCCAAAATTAAACTAAACATAAGGCATTACATTACTTCAATTATCCTAAGTAGGACCAATGTCACTGCCAGTACTACACCCTGCCGAGGTAAGGTGCAGTGCACTGACCGATCCAAAGTAGGGGGGTCGGTAGGGGCGATCCCTCCTCCCAAAGACTGTGTCAGCAACCCCCCTTCTCACGTTAAGTGCTCGTAGTCCTACCTACTATCACGAATTTGGGCAAAAGAGTGGAACTACGGTGACCACACATTACCAATATTTATGCTCGTAAAAACAAGAAGTCATTACCATGTCTCCCTCTCCAATGTTACTTCAGGCAGCCCCCCTCCACCTACCCCTAAAATGAGTGGCTGGATCCGCCCCTGGTGCGGCGAAATTTTTTGTGTGTGCATCATACGCTATAATGCGACGTTACCTAGAAGATGTAGCTTTGTTTTAAATGGAAACTTGCCAAGCAAGAAAAGTGCAGTACAAATAGAATGAACGCTTACCCAATCGCTAAAGTGAAACAAGCGTACAATTTGGTTTGTTGAAAAAGTAATCCAAACGACCTTGAATGTCAACGTTTTTCATTATTAGCTTTCTAAGCAAACATTCATGACATTGTTAAAAAAGAGAGCTTCTTTCAGCAGATTTGTCATGAATGTGCCTGATTTGCGTGTCATGAATGTGCGTGATCTGTCATGTTTAGTGCGTGGCACACGCACTAAATGTAAAACTGCAAGTGCAGTCCTACATTTACCCCCTAACATGAAATAGACATCTGCAGCGTACTTCCCAACATAACACACGAAACAGACTCTAGGCACATACACGCAACTTCTACAGTGTTCCACACCTCTATTCTACATGTTCTATACATCGAACCTGCTCATCTCAACAACAACGCTCTGCTGTTAGCCCTTGTCAAGAGACTGGGTGCAATGAAGAAGTGCTCGCAAATCACTGCACTCTTTATGATGCAATAGCTCTGGTCAAACATGCACGTGCGTTTGAAATGTATTACGAGTGTCACATGGGCCGCTCTAAATCACGATCAAGCTCCTACTGGGACTGAATTTCTTGACTGCCTCCCACAAATATATGACACAAATGAACGAATTGCAACGAGAAACCTTACACCAATCGGGGTTAGTTGCGATTGAAATTGCGCCTCGTCAAACATTTATAAAACGAAAGACATTTTACGCATTTGCACCCATTATGGCTTGCTGAAAGCTTGCGTGCAATGTTGAAATGACACCAAATTGACATTTTATCAGCTTAGACTGAGTATTTATTGAAAACTACATAGCATAATTAAGATTGTGATTCTAGGTTCATTATTTTGAGAGCAATAAAAGGACATTACTGCACTTTTTGATTTTCACGCTGAAACAAAAATATTGATACATCAGTCTGATGCCGTGCATATCATGGCATTGTAAGTTTCCATCAAGTTTTATTATTCCCTAATGTCGCTCCTGAATGCTAATTTCACATGACACATCAAGGTTGTCATTACTTCTGCAGAAATGCTGAGCAAGAACATTTTAAAGGGGATTTTTAAATCAATACTACTTCACAGTATGTGAAACAAATGCCAATGTCAAGTTAAATTTAATGAATTCATTTACAAAGAGGAAAAAAAAAACGGCAAACCATATGGCACCCAATCCCAATTCAACAAGAGGCATGCAGCCTAAACTGGTCACACTTTAATATGCACTACCCACAAGAGCTCTAACAGGCTAATGCACATACACAACAATTAGGTGGCGGTGGCTAATAGGCCAGTCTTGAGAACAGCCAGCTAACATCAACACTAGCTGGTTCATCGTTACATTGCATTTTGTGCTACATAGTCCACCGCTGCTAAATGTACTACGTACATTCCTTTGTTCGTTTCGTACAAAATGAGTCTAACGCTCGATGGTGACTCTTTGTGAACCGTTCACAGGTGCTTTGTAATTGAGTATCAGAAGCCTAACCCTTATGTGGATGCACGTCTGATGTTGCCAGATGTCTTGGGTAACACTTCCGTCACGTAGGCCTACCATGCACTCAGCGCAAACGTACCAGGCTGTCTGCAATTCTGCCAAGAAACTCGCACAGCATACTCCTTAAGGCAAGCATGTTGTTCACTCACCTACACAAAATCTGAAAGATTAATAATGGCAAGTTTTGAGTCATGGTGTAGCCTGCAAACTATCGTCCGCAGATGAAGCACCCTAGACTGTGATGGGCTCTGACCTTGGAGTCCAGCTTTTGCTCGGGCTGCTGAACATAAACAAGCCACTATACTCAGTTCAGGTGACACTGCTTTGACGCTCTGGTGACAGATTGTAGAATCAGCATAAAACATGAACAGGCTGCTGGATCGGAGAAAAAAAAAAGGCATTTCAGCAGCATAGCGCTCTGCCATTTAAAACATGTCTTGGTATATATAGACGAACCAGAATTGCACGACTTTGCTGAATAAAGTCATATAAACTGCCCCGAAAAATTTCAGGGCTCAAATATTTAGAGATGAGTAAACTTTTGATGGCCAATGTACACACGCGACACTACTGAGAGTGCTGCTGTGTCAATTTGTAACACTCGCCCAACTGTATTTGGGCTGTACTTGCCTACAGCTATTCATTTCTTATAGAAAAAAACACCCTCTGTACGTGAATAAACTTAAGGCCTCTGTTTTAAAGCCAACAGTTGGTGCCTATATAAAAATCTCAGGTTGTGATGCGACAGACTCTGCAAGGCAGCCATTCCCCATACCATTCGTACTGACAATTAAATTCAGCAGCCCACGTCGTATATAAAAATGATGAAAATTTCATACTAGGCACATCATAGTATCAAGAAAGCATATCCAGCCAAAAAATGAACGTACACAGGAAACAGAAAAGTGTCCTTCGTTTCTTGTGCACGTTAATTTTTGGCTTTATTTCCTTGATGCAACGCACCAACTGGCTTAATGAGTGTTATTATCATTCAGTAGTATTAGTTAAGTCTGTATCAATCCAACATAGTTAACTTCTACGAACCCTGCATTGGCGAGACTATGAAAGATATTTGAATGAATCAAAATGTTAGTTAAATTAAAGCTTTATGAAAGCATCAGTGGCTTTTCAAGACTTTCCAATGTAGCCAGAATTACCAAGCATAATTATCACCAATGACCCAAAATTTATGAGAATAGTATAGAGAATTGCTACACACTTTTGATAAACGTGACACTGACTTGTAGCTCCTTTTTTTTTTTTCATTCACTTCCCCCTGTAGCTTTCTCTCGAGCTATATGTGACATTTATGTAAAAATGTACAATACGTAACACAATGTATGTGGTGTTCACATTATATTTAACACCAGATATAACATGAAAAATGAAACCACCTGAATCTGCAGCACTACCTTAACAGTTATTAGTCTTCGTACACTCAAACACGCTGTCATCCTTGAACTTTCAAGCAAAGACAAATAGGATTCTGTCCACCTGCAACAAGCTTTTATGTAACTGCTGGCTACAGTGAATCCATTAGATGGATACTCTAATGAGCAAATTTAGTACATCTTTAGTGCCAATGACAGGCTGTTAGATAGAAAAGGCTAGCAACCATTGCCGCAGAAGACACCCACCCACGAAGACTGTCACCTAAATCATTTCTATGTACATCGACATGTATGGCCTTGAGAGCGGTACTTAACAATCAAAATATGTAATACTCAACAGAAGGCTGCCACAAACCATTGACCACTAGTTTGTTACTTTTAGGCACTTCAGGAACAGTGCTGCCTTGTTTTCACTCGAGCCAATCGATCACATTCACGTCATTTTACAAGTAGCGCCTAAATTAAACAAGGTAATGTGCCGGCTAGTCTATACTCATTGACACTTCCCTCAATTTCAAATGAAGTTTCTCTGTTAAGGAGGTAGACTTAACACCAGTAGCTGCAATAAAGTGCACTCAATCTTCTTAATCTTTAGGTATCACTGATAATTTATTTAGATGTGATTGAGTGGTGCAAGAGGTAGAGCGTGTACGCAGCAAACGGTGCCTGTTATGCCACCAACCTTAAAAGCCGGGCTTAGCTGCAATATGTAGTGCAGAGGGTCAAGGCAGCATTGTTTCTTTCCTAAATGAAATGGAACATCACTAGTGCCCAACTAAATATTCAGTCTATCACTAAAAAAAAAAAGATACTTATGAGAAGATTCTGCAACTTGTGCTCGCCTTCTTGGGTTTTTACAAACATGGAAGGCTTCGCAACGCTCGTAAGTGGCTTGTTTCGTGCCGAAAGTGCTGCAGGGCTCGTTAACATGCCTCAACTTCTAACAGGAATACGTTGATGCAAGGCATAAAAATTGGGAGTTGGCAGCGACATTGGTCATAAGCAGGCCTGCCAGTCAACATGCCTGCATGCGATCAACCTGACGACTAATCTCAACCATGGTTACAAGCGTCAGCAACGTCAGCAAATGGAGGAATGCACTGTCAGTGCATCTATGTTGTAAACGTCAATCTGGAGGCAATAATCAGTTGTCAGCACATCAGTACGCTGCGAGTATGACACGAGCATCTACTAGATATTTCAATCTATCTTTGGTTACAGCTCAGGTACAACGAGACATGAGATAAAAGAAGCGAGGGCTCAGTCGTAACTACATACATCAAAAGAAAGACGTTGGAAAAGGTCACTGCGATGAAAAAAAAGTGAGGATATGTAAAATAGAGTAAACGAGACACACATGAACAAGATTACACATGTGTAAATGATACCATCCCACACTACTGTGAACAGAGACCAACATTGTACTTTTCTGAAGATAAAAAAGTAAGAAAATACAGAGAGATACACTTGCAACAATACAAGATGGCAAGAGAATAAGGGGTCATTTCTTCTTAAGCTATTATCAGCAAGTTCCTAATGCGATTCATTACATTGCATGTGTATTGAGCAAACAATTCAATGCATAACAAATAGTATTTTTTTCAATGCTACTATTGAAGTACTATATATAAACAAAATGAAACAGAAATATAAAAACCAGAGCGACTTAATAACTGCACTTGCATCCCCCACAAGCTGATCCGCATTCGTCGGAGATTGAATAATTCGGTAATTTTAGAGGGACCAAATTTGTACCTTGAACGAATTCCCTTTTAACGAAAAAAAAAAAAAAAAGATGTGTAAGCAAATGAATGTTAGCTTATTTTAGCTGCATTCCTGTAAGAATCCTAAAAAGCACGCAAGAAGTCGAATGAAACCAAATAAATGAAATGAACTTCCCCTGATTGGCTGTTGCCCCGAGAAAGCTAACCAAATTATCAGAGATCCTTTACCCAACGCAGCCCAAGCGAGCTTAAAAGGACTGAATCAAGAAGCAGCAATATCGAGTGTACATAAACATTCCTGACAACGAATGGCACCAGCGCTCAATTACCTGGCCCTGTTGCACACAATAACAAAAAAAAAAATTACTAGAAAAAAAAAAGCCACACCAGCGCAGAAATACAGATGTTACACATTTTGCTGCAACGGTTCATCTGCCACCAGAAAAACCAAGAGCTTAAAAGGCCTGAGTCACGAATAAAGCTAACGTACAGTACATTTAACTATTCATTCTATTTAACGATCCATTGCCAATCTTTCCTTAGAGGGCTCAAAACAAGTGATTGCTCAGCTTGGCAATTAGTTTGACTGCACATTTAAAAGTGAAGCAAAACGAACAGGTGGGCAAGTTGGTACTGATTGCGCTATATTCAGGCCCTAATGTACTTTTATACCCTGGCATATACAAGCCATGCCGTATAACTTCTGTTGATGCACGCTCCATATTTAGAAAATTTCAGAGCTCAATCTAATGCTAGCTGTTATGGCTAGGGTCCAAACTAACAGTATGTAATTTGCATGAAATATAATTCTGTCAACACTAATGACACGACCAATCGATCGATATATACACACTATTTGCCGTGTGATACCACCCAGTAAGCGATATTGAAGTCATAATTTTCAATGCCAACTGGCGACCAGATGTTTTGTGGTCTGTGGTGCAGCTCTAAGAACAGGAACTAAATCACAATTCCCAGTATTCGCCCTTGCCGCCTCTTCTCACTTCCAGAATAACAAAGAAAAAAAGAAAAGCGATCAAATGGACAACACTTGTGATGAGGGGTCACGCAGACAGCCCCACGTGTGTGCCAATGATCTCAGGCCTATCTTAAAATACAAGGACCTTCACAGGTTACTAACTTTTCATTATTTTCTTCCTCAATTATCCCACTGGTTATCTAACCTCAGTTCCTTACTAACTAAAGGCTAAAGAATGTCATTAAGTAGGTGGTCTGAGTGCAAAAGTCATGAAGTCACTTCACCCCACAATCATTTGTGGGGTGAAGCTGCTTTGTGCTGCTCCCTTGGTGTAGAAGAAATAACAAAAAATTAAACAAACCACAATATCGTTACCTTTGCACGAAAACGGCATACAGATCGAACAAAAACAAATCTCGCTCTGCTTGTCATCTTTGCCTCACTGTTTCCTACATTGGAATACATTAACTATAAAACTTTCACTTTCATTCAGCGCTTCACTTTTCAAGAAGAACAGCCTAAAGATGGCTTAAAAAGACATTCGCCCCAACGCGAGTTCTCTATGTACAAACCGAGTACTGCAAGAGTCTATGTGCGTCTGCCGGCACGGCAGCCACACCAAACATGCTACGAAATGCCTTCTGGCGCACACGTGCTGCACAGAAAACGCGGCCTAATCGACACGAAGCTCGCAATTCGCGTTCAGCGCGAACGCGACAAGTGAGCGTGCGGGACTATTTCTAGCACATCCCTGCATCTCGCCACACTTCGCCAGTTGAAACATGAAAGTGTCACTTCTGTCATAAAAGTAGCGGCACTATCCGCGGTGGCACGTGATGGTTGCTGCTGCACTCCGCAGTGCCACTCCACGCTACCTGAACGAGGTGCAATACAAAAGGTGTAGGATGAGGCATCGATTGGTTCCACACCACTGATCAGAGTAGCGACTCAACAAAAGCTACCAGTACTATGAAGAAACCACAGAGTGGCTGAAACCAAACACAGTTTGTAGAACCTAACACGTTCCTGAGGACATGCAGTCTACATGGAGTGACGGTAATGTTGAGTATATGCTATCCACACAAATTGTGCCAGAATTTTTAAATTCAGCCAAATCCTTGTCTTTCCAGAAAAAAAAATCACCCGCGATCGATTACCGAAGATCCCGAAGTCCACACCAAGCATGACCTTGGAAAAAGGGATGGGTGTGACAACATTTCGCGCATCTATAGCAGGTGGCATTTCCAGTTGTGCCGGATGGGGCTTTCACGTTTTTTTTCGGATGAACGGGCCACAGGCGAAGAACGTCGCGGAGCAGTGAAATGTGTCAAACTAGATGCTCCCTTGCACATGTGTACGTATGGTGTTTAAATTAGGTGACTTGAATGGCTACCCGGCTGTTGTGCCATTTGACTGAAAAAGACAAAAAAAAAAGAAAAGAACAATATGAAAATTAAGGAGCGGCTAACTGGCCAACACAAACACGCAGCCTCTCTGGCTGCTGATCCCTGCAAATTCGGAGTAGGCAAGTACAAACGGCACTAGTGGTCATACTGATTTTCTATCATGCTCAAATTCGACGACGAGGTAAAACATAAAAGCACATTTTTCCTTCCAAGGTGTTTTCCAAAATCGGCACACTTAAAGCTCAACATTAGCGGCAAAAAGTGGCAGTCTGCATCACTGGGTTGAAATTTACTGATACTCAATTAGAGCTTAACCATCAATTTAATTAACGTGAATATAACACAGCAAATATGACACTTTTGGCGCCAGTATCAGTGCATGAGAACGATGCTTGAGCTCCGATATATTGAACTACACGCAAACCTCATTGTAACAAAGCTGCACCTTGCAAGAAAATAAGTCCACTACAGCTGAACTCCTTTATAAGAGGCATGCTCCAGGCAAGGCAGCGATTCTTGTCATTTATACGAGATGTCTCTTATAAATGGTGTACCTCGTGTATGTATTCTCTTTTCAACCTGTATTTTACTGAAGGCACACTGGTGTCCACTTTACCTATTTGTTTCTTATACCTGTGTCTCTTACAAAGGCGTTCGATTATATAGACGGTTTCAAGGTCATAAGTGTTGTACCCCAAAAAACTTTCGGTCGCCTCATTTACCAGCTCAAGACGTCTAACTAAAAGCACGTTTTCAAGTTTCTTAGAATAAGGAAAGTCCTACTTTAGTTTTTCAGATAAAAGGAACGTGCGTAAAGTTCAGGGGAATCTCTTCCAATATTTATGTAGCTTGATTTGTGGGGTTTAACGTCCCAAAACCACCATATGATTATGAGAGACACCGTAGTGGAGGGCTCCGGAAATTTTGACCACCTGGGGTTCTTTAACGTGCACCCAAATCTGAGTACACGGGCCTACAACATTTCCGCCTCAAATATTTATGTAGCTTAAAGAAACACTTACTTGAATATATTTTGTCAAATAAGAGAAAGAAGGTGTAGAAAGCAGCGGGCTATTTTCTAAAGCTCTTCTTGTCCACCAATGCCATTAAGGCACATTTGTGGATGAAACCGGATGTCATCAAGGGTGGCAGTTTGGGCTAGTTGGTATGACATGGCGATAGTTATAGCACGAGAACGGAACGACGCCAAAGAGACAAGAAGGAGACGAGCGCTCGTTCTGTTCTCGCGCTATAACTAACATTATGTCATCAAAGGCTTGTGGTTGTAAACAGTGAAAGGGTCTATATCCGGAAATTTGTTGTAAAGGTTATCCTTAGCACTGTCCATTGCAAGACTATTTTTAGTTTACTTTGTTATAACGGATATTTCATTATATTGAAATTTGAGTGTATTCATTACATTGTATGAATCTTACAGCTTCTTTAGAAATTTCATACAAAAGTCAGACAAAAAGTGGTACAAAAAAATATCGGGACTAGACAAGACTATCTCGTCTTATCTTTCTCATCCCATTTTTCATGTTGTCTTTCCCATGATTGAGTACACTGTTCTTCCAAATAAAGTGGATAGGGGACAGGTTGCTGCCATGCAGTCAAACCAATAACAAAGGCTACGAAAACTAAGAGACAGGAGCGCACAGAGAATTCTGTTGCTTCAGCATGCCCTTACCTCAGGTGCATCGTCCCATCCCTCGCTGGCTCCAGCCAGATGATAGTGGCGCTTGCGAAGTGCCGCCAACTGAACACGCTCCCGCTCCAGGCTGCTCTCGAGCTCCAGTACACGGACCTATCACCGCATTGTGAAAGAATGAGGAAGTTCATGACTGAGAAAGCAAGCTTAAGCTCAAGGTGAAGTTTGAAAGATTGCATTGTACAGTTAAACCTGCTTATAACGAACCTCTGTATAACGAATTCCTCGATATAACGAAGTTTTTCTATTCCCTGCCATTGCTCCATAGAAGCACATGTACTTTCGACTGCTATGTAACAAAGTAACAGCGCGAGACAACCTTGATATAACGAATTTTCTCCACGGACAATCTAGGAATTTCTCTCTGTATTTTGGCATTTTGGTACGAGCATGCATCTTCCGCGGCTGCCCCGTCGCCGATGAAGTGCGGTGTGGTGGCGATGCGCACGGCGCACTAAGTGAGAGCGAGCACTCGTTATTGCGCTATTGCACACGTGTGAGCGCGAGGCGGGCAGGTGGGCCTGCATTCTACGAGCCAGCGTTGCTGCCGTCCTCGTTGCCGCAGGCGTATGTGCAGATGTACCCCCCCACTCCAAACCAAAAAAAAAAAAGACACCTACTTTTGTACATTGGCACATTGGCAGTGCCTTGCTTTTAGTTAGCGTCACATATGTGGGGCCGCGCTGCATATAGAGGGCGCTTTACCGAATAGTTTTCCTCGGTATCCGTGTCGTTCGCTCTTCGTTTTTGACGCCGTGCGCGTGTGCATAGTTCACTGCGCGCACATGGTGTGGCCCCTGACGACGTTCAGCTTTGCTTTTTTTTTTTTTTAAGCTATGGCAATAATGTGGACAGTCTCGGCTGGTTTTTGCCGTCGCCGCCGCTGTATATACAGTCAAACCGCGTTAATTCGAAGTCACTGAGGCCACGAGAAAGCTTTGAATTAAGCGGGTTTTCGAATTAACAGAACATACAAGGAATGAGATGCTATAAATTTAGAACTATTTAAAGTAATCATTGCTCGTCGTTTGCAGTGCTGGCTAGCTTGCTGCTTCAAAGGTCACGTTTTCTAGCAATACCTGGTATTTATTGTAACAGAATAGAAAGTTGGGCGAGTTGGTGTCTATCCATATTAAAAGAAAAGCGGCGCACAAAAAGACGGAGACAAAGAAGAGAACCACACACAGCGCTGCACTCACAACTGAAAGTTTAATCCGAGCAACAAGAATTTAAAAGGTAATAGCCGCGCATGACAAGTGAGGTACAACGAGATTAAGTGATACGCTCATCAATAAAAGTGAACTCTTTTTTGTGCAATGTAACCGAGGTGTGGCTTACGCAAGCATCACGTGACTTGTTAATATGATAGGCTTCAGACACCTCACGGGTGAATTGATCGTGGTGCTTAAAAATAATAACAGTGTTAGACAGAAGAGGTGTGCACCCACACGTGGCACAATGCGAAGCCAAATGGGAAGGCGTGCCGTTATGCAAAGAGAGATAGTGCTCCCGCAACCTTTTATTGATACAGCGGCCCGTCTGTCCCACATAATGAAGGCCACAAGATAAAAGAATGCGGTACACCACCCCCACAGCACAAGGCACATACTTATTTCTATGGTATACGGCACATTTCTTTACATCTGGCTTGTCACGGGTATACCATAGAAATAAGTATGTGCCTTGTGCTGTGGGGGTGGTGTACCGCATTCTTTTATCTTGTGGCCTTCATTATGTGGGACAGACGGGCCGCTGTATCAATAAAAGGTTGCGGGAGCACTATCTCTCTTTGCATAACGACACGCCTTCCCATTTGGCTTCGCATTGTGCCACGTGTGGGTGCACACCTCTTCTGTCTAACACTGTTATTATTTTTAAGCACCACGATCAATTCACCCGTGAGGTGTCTGAAGCCTATCATATTAACAAGTCACGTGATGCTTGCGTAAGCCAGACCTCGGTTACATTGCACAAAAAAGAGTTCACTTTTATTGATGAGCGTATCACTTAATCTCGTTGTACCTCACTTGTCATGCGCGGCTATTACCTTTTAAATTCTTGTTGCTCGGATTAAACTTTCAGTTGTGAGTGCAGCGCTGTGTGTGGTTCTCTTCTTTGTCTCCGTCTTTTTGTGCGCCGCTTTTCTTTTAACCTGGTATTTATTTTGCCGCGAACATAGAGGAACGGTGGGCCTCGCTGCTGTTACAGGAAAAAAAAAATGCTGTCCTTGTTGACTGAAATGTGCACCTGCAAAAAACAAGACATCTTTACTGCAACACAGTAGTCACATGCGGGCAGCATGTCTCCTGCTTCTTGCTCCGTCAGCACGTCATGATACGACCATTCGCAGATTATTTTTATTATAATTATGAATTTGATAATGGCCAGAATGATGAAGCTCACAATGTGTTTTGGCTGAAAAAAATGATCTTTGAAAAATTCAAACTTAGTTTTTGAAGTACGTGTTGCTGGCAAGAACTTGACCAGCAGTGCAAAGACTGGAATTGCTGGAGCAACCGGCAATCAGAGGTTCGCATACATCGCGATTTCCGCTGAACTGCCCTTTATTATTTCTTTACAATCCGAGAAAGAATGAATAAACCATGACCCGCTGACGTAGCGAGAAACATGCAATAAGCTGCCCGCATGTCACCATTGTGTTGCAATGAAGCACGGCTTGTTTTCCGCAGGCGCACGTTTCAATTGACAACGAGACCGTTCTTTTTTTTAGTGCTGAAAGTAGCGAGGTTAAGGTGCTTCAGCTGCCACTCGTTAGTATCGATACGTTGCATTGCCTCATGGCTATTAATAGCCATCGTTTTGCGGCAAAATCGGGATCTGAAACTGGCACATTGCACCCAAAGTTTCCCAATTAACTGGACTGGTGCCGGTCACCACTTCAAATTATCCACTCAAAATTACATTGCAAAATACGGGACTGGGGAAGTCCTTCAAATTAGGTGGGACTTCAAAATAACTGAGTTCGAATCAATGAGGTTTTACTGTATATATGTATCTATATATATGCGAGAACTCGAGAAAAAAAAAAAAAAGCCAAGAAATGCTTTGCATTTAATAATGTCTGCAATCACATTGGTATGCCGCTGCAAGCACTGCAGCATTTTCAAATACCTAAAAAAAATTTTTATACACACCCCCCGCACGTAGTGTACTGAATATAATAAGTACAGTAGTATCGCCAGCTAATCCTTCAAAATTTTCCAAACTTCTGCCGTGATTCAGAAGACTGACTGATCAATTGGTCTGGAGTGTTTCATGCATCAGAGAAACTTGGAGAATGAGAGATGTATAGTAAAAGGCTCTGGATTTACTTTGGCGACTTGGAGCTTGGTGTTGCACCAATAAAATTTAACATTGCACCTTTGTAGAATTTTATTTTCATTTTACTCCCATAAAAACCTGGCTGCTATCTACGACTGGGAGTTGAGTCCATGACCTGACACTTCGCGATGCTCACACTGAGCTTCTTCAATTTGCACGTCCCAGACGACTCCAGACGCTGACGCCGCATAGTTTTTTTCAGTGACCTACCAGAAGCTCCGCTCAACTGGTCCTGGACATCTCGAATGCATGTTGGTTTTTTACGTGACAGGTGGCCTGCAGGTGGCCCCTGGACTGTTTAAACAATGTCTTTTATGCAGCTGACCAACGACGGCGCGGTGCATCTCGTGTGCAGACATGTTAAGTTGGACACCGGTGGGAATTTTCTATGCGCTCCTGCTCTCTTATTGCTTTTTTCTGTCTGCTTCTCGCTTGTTTCCAGAATTTGCATTGTTTGAGCACCGAGTTCTTGTCGCTGGAATTCTGAGCTGCGTCGGGTACATGCACATTCCCGAAGGTTTGGCAAACACGCACAATGCTTGCCAATAGAAACAGTGGCGGAACGCCCACACGCATCTTTGATGTGTGAGTGCTCAAACAGTTCACTTACACTAAGTTGTGTCATAACAAAAACAGACATAATTCACTATCAAACGACTCTTGAGGTCGAAATTGGGTTGGCGTAGTGGCTGATGTTGCAGCCATGAACGAAGCAAATGGCGTGGCAGACGCCCTGTAGGATGTGGCCAACATAAAGCGAACATATGGCCCGAGACTACTCGGACCTTTTAAATCACGTGATAATGACATTATGTCATGTAATAACCCATGAGCCGAGGTGTCTGTGGGCCGCCGGCGACTCGTCCGGAATTCGGAACAAGCTCACTGGCTCTCGTGAGCGGGCCAATGCAACGGCACAAATGTCACATCTACATGTTTAATACTTTGGGTGCCCAGGGTCAGTAAACTTTCTAGCTGGACAAAATAAATGCTACAGATGACCTCCTCTACAATGAGCCCTGCATTTATTGCAAAGGAAACAACAATGCAACTGACCCACCAGAAATGGCAAGGCACTGACCTGGCATAAAAAATAGCGAAGCTAGCCAGGATAGAAAGAGAATGCAGGTGCTGTGTCAAGCACTTATTGGCCATACCTGTGACTCCATCTCTAGTCTCTTGGCCTGGTGTAGTGTAATTCTGGAGAAATCGAGCACTTCTGAAAAAAAAAAAAAAAGCATAATGTTAGAGAGGGCAGACTGGAACAACTTCAGTCAATACCTGCATGCTTGCGACATTTTATGACTCAAAGTAGTTGAGTTCACAAGAGTTTTCTGAAATTGCCTAATTGAAACAGTCTTGCATTAACACTAACTTCCGTGAGAATGTTGTTGCGTAGTAAAGCTTTCGGATCGACTTTTTTTTTTAACAGCCAGAACTGCGCAACGCTCAATGGCAGGAACACTGGCGAAACAGCGACCTTTGCGACTTATTTCGTGCTTTGGGAAAAGAAAGAACTCTGCCGGGCTCATATCAGGGCTGATGCAGTCCTGATACAGCCCTGGTGTGAGTCCAGTACACTTATTCCCAAAGCTGAAGAGAAGGCACAAAAGTCACAATTTCGATGGGTGGTGTTCCCACCACACAATGGGCTGTCACAAAGTCTCTGAGAGAGGTCACAGCAGCTGACATTTAGGTGGCCTATGCAGGGTGAAAATAACAGTACATCGATGGTGTATCAATACCTAAAAGGTCTATTCTGCAGAATTTTAATATTATACACTGATTGGACCAACGAGATCTTTTAACTAGACGCAGTCTCACCACTTTACAGACACACCTGCATTAAACTGCGAGACTTCATGGCACCACGTGCTGAATTACAATGGCTTCTAGTGCAACGATATCTAACAATCAAACAAATGTACCCCTGCACACAAAAATGTACCTGTCCTGAGATAAAGCTGAGATAATGTCTAATATGAACACACCTAGGGACCTCATTGCATTTATTTGGGTATATTCACATCTGGTGTTACAAGGATTCCAGTTCATATACACTCATAGGTAGATGTTAAAGCGGATTTCTGCATATGGGGGTAATCATTTTTCAGCTGCTCAACTCCTAATCCATCTTTTCACCAATATTGTACCATGCCCAGCCCTACTTGAGCACTTCAATTCTACTTTCTTGGGCCCGTTTCCTTACCAATCGCATGGTGTGGGCATGTCCCTCCAATCCAACCCCCCCTCCCTCAACCTGTCAGGACTGGAAAGCTGCTGCTAGAATTTCCAAAGCCCAACAGGCATTGATGGCTAGAGCCAGAGCTGCTCTGGAAGCTAAAGGGTTACCAGACTACAGATACTTCCAATGGGTGTGTGAGACGGCCCTAGTGCTGCCAGACTTGACCCATACACAGCTACCAGTATCAATAGATAAATAAACATCATTACCACCAGTCGACCAGCAACCCATGTTGCATTGGCTCACAAATTAGCACTTGGCTGAGGCCTCACACTTTGTGTTTGGCAAAATATAAACTTACCAAGTGACTAAAAATTTAAATTCAGGCAGTACAAAGCCGTTGAAACCATCAGACAGTGAAGCCGTAATTATGATAGCAACGGTTACTTTTGGTAGAAAGAAGTCATCGTAATCATATCATTTTATTCATTTATGTATTCACTCCATCCTTTGGTCACATAAGCTGCGTGATGCCAACTACTACTACTACTACTACTACTACGACTAATACTACCACTACTACTGTAATGTGGATGATGATGATGGCAGCACATCATATGCTAAGACAGCTCTGCAACAAAAAACTTCCCCTATGTGGCATTGAAGCTCATAAGACAAGTCTAAAGTACTATGACTTCGACACAATTCCATGCTGGCACACTGCAAACATGCACGCACACAAACAATTGTGGGTCATGGTAGTCGCTTACCCGAATCTTCAACAAGATGAGCACAAGCCTTGGCAGTGGCCACCACATTCCCCGTCGCCTGAGAGACGCCCTTGGAGGCCGCCCCTAGTGCTGCTAGCCGAGCTGAGCCACGGTCAGCCTTCACGCGCGAGGCTACCACCAGCTGTGCAGTGGCACCTGCAATCTCCTGGCTGGCCACCACCAGTTCCTCAAACTTACCACCACCGCTTGACACAACACGGTCTGCCGCATCCCTGAAATTGAGTGTCGCATCGGAAATGCGGCCTTTGCGCAGCACTACTACAAAGGTGAAACAAACTTTGCAGCCATGCATCTTTAAAGGTTTAAGGGGAGATGCGAGTAGAAAAATGCAAGTTATTTTTTCTTGTAAAATTACATGTTTTTCGTTTTAATTGCCTTCACAAGTTTAGTTTGTCTACTTTCAAGACAAAAAGACTGAAGATTCAGATTAAACACGAAGTAGGTTAAAATCACTTTTATAGAGCACAAGATGGCTACTAAAAACTAAGAAGAGCTGATTGTCTGGAGTCCCCTGGAAATGGTCACCTCGCTTGCATTTTGCGATTCCCATTGCATTTCGCATGAGTAGTTCACTAAATCCACATGCTCAAAATGACCATGATTGCCAAACTCTCATGAATAGAAGAAGTCATCTTAAAAAACTAATCTTTTCTGCACAGATGAGCTTTCAGTTATATCTTTAAAATGCATTTTTCTCATGATCAATCTCAGGCCAATTTCCTGTGTTTAGACATCAATTTCGCGGAACTACTGATAGCCCGATTGAAATGAAATTTTGCCCACACATTGCTTGACATGTGAAGAGTCCAAGTATTTCCTTTAAAACTTGATACAACCTGTATAATTATTATGAACATAATGCATGCAATTAATTTGGCTTGAGAATTTCTGAAAATCTCGCATCACAATTTTTGTTGTCCCTTAAAATGTCTTATAAAGACTTTCTTTATAATTATTTACATTCTACAGTCAACGTAGAGCTATATGAGCGAGCCATTTAATGGGTCAGAACTGCAAAAGTTCAGTAGCATAGAAAGTTTGCCCAAAACAAACTGTACTTTACATATTTTCATGGCATAAAACAAAAATTGTGCAACTTACTGTAAAATAACTACATATTTGAAATCCGCATAAAAGCTTATACAGTCGCCGACCGATTTTTCGGACCTGGCGGGGACCGAAAAGAAGTACGAAAAATCGAACAGTCCGAAAAATTCGTTTTTGCCAAAAATCTGAAGTTTATTGAATCAGGCAGGTTTAAAAAACGTCCTTGATGCTGCCTTGCCTCAAACTACGCTTGGAGGCAATTTGGTTTGCCCGTATTTGCGCCAAGGTGACATCGTCGCTGTAAACGCTCGACAAAATTGTCACTGCGTTGGCGATCTCCGACGGCTGCGGGCGGTCATCGTTGTCATCCGACGACAACGACGACCGCCATCCGGCGTCGACCGTCATCCAGCGACATCTAGCTGCGAACGTCCACTCTCTATTAGCTTGATTGTGGCAGCTTTCTTCTCCATCGTCAGGGTCGTATACTTCCCACGCTTCTTCACACCACCTGGCTCCCGCGATGGCACAGATAGCGGAGCCATGGCACCGAGAACACAAAATTCGATGCCGCAGATAGCCGCTGCGCGACGCTACGCGACACAACACGCGCAGAATGGCGACTGAAAAAAGCTGCAACGACAATAAAAGAATCCTTCTTTCGCCTCCTCCCCGTGCGATGTGATGACGATAGTGCTGACCGAAGACGAAAAAACGGCATCCATCACCGCGTCTTTTAAAAAGCAAACACGGCCTCCGAAACTTAAAATATGGCGTGCGCATTCCAATCTCGGAGGCAGGAAAGGCATCTGAAGACCAAGCTTAGCCAAGTCGACGGAAAATCCAACATGGCGGCGTTCACATGGTTTGGGGCGTGGCACAAAACGAGCGATTTAGTCCGAAAAATCGAACTTTCAGGGGCAAATTCGCCCGAAAAATCGGTCGAAACAGTGCATTAGCTCTATGGGATCCCTGACGGTGCATTTATGAAGTCCGGAATATCCAACAAGTCCGAATTTTTGGAGTCCGGAAAATCGGTCGGCGACTGTATACTATACAGCAAAAATTTCATTGCCCTAGGTTATTAATTAACGAAACTTCTTTTTCGAATCGCATCTCCCTTGAAGAGATAATGAAGGATAATGAAAGCGGAAAGAAAAAAATTAGGAAAACATTGGACTTAAATCCTGAAAAGATGACTGTTCTGATAAACAATGTTTCTTTCACATATTTTTTGAACAGTTGTCTGTATTCTTGGAGAACTGCCAGTGCTTGGTGGTTGCACACTAGCGCGAGCTGCCAAATTCACTGCAGTGGATGCAGGGTATACGTTTTCCTGTCTGCATACTTCCCTTTCTCCACCTCTTCCTTTTTCTCCATCCCCACTTCCCTTTCCACAAAGGTGCAAAGATGTGTCGCACCAGTTAAGGATTTTACCCCATAAAATTTCCTAAATGTACACTAGAGGGAACTCTGGCACTAGTGTCTATGGGAGTTGCAATGCATGGCGCTTCAACGAGCATGAGAATTATGGGTAATACATAGATTTGCCAAGTCTTCGTACTTAAGATCTCTTCTGGCTTCGCATGGCTTGAGGCTGCTTTGTCACAAAACAACAATCAGCAAATGTTCGGCAGTTACGCTTCACCACCTTTGCCTTTTAGGCCCACCATTTTCAATATGCTCACGAAGTTAATAACCGTTTATTCTTTCATTCGAAACGAAAACCAAAACACAGCAATAAACAAAGCCACAAGTGCGTTTGCCGCCCGCAAGCACGAAGACTAGCATCTCCATGTTATACCCATAATTACAATGGCCGCTGAATGATCGCAGTGCCAGAGTCCCCTCTAGTTAATTTTAGAAAACTGTATGCTTCAGCCCAACCTGGGAGCACTGTTCCCAGGTTTGTAATGATTTTAGGAATCGTAGTGAAAGGTTAAAAGCAGTGATTTTCCGTACTACGCCGAAGAAATTTCATTCAGAGATATAAAAATTCCCTATTTCAGAAATTTTTTTTCCCTGCAAACATCCCTTTGGCTCAAAATGACAGGCAAAAATTCCCCGAAAAAGAAAAAATTCCCTGCATGGTACATCACTGGTTAAAAGATGCAGACGGTGGCTGGCACAGTTGGTAGCCTGGCATTAACTTCACCTCCTCTAACTCAAAGTGCGGCTGCTAGATAAAGCAGTCTGCGAAAAACTTACAAATATATCCATTTTTCGTTATTTTTTAACTGAAATTAGGCTTATGTCAACCGATTTCAGTGCCTAATCTTCTGGCTTGGTTGAATATCTTGCGAGGAAAAAATTATTCAGTATTCTTTTAAGTGGTCTATTTTGCTTATACTGCATTCCAATGAATAGAGTTACAGAATGAGTGACCCTCACCTCATTTCCTACAAGCCACATGGGTGGTATTTTCCAGCAATCACTGTCAGGGTGACGGTCGCTTTTGCTGAAATTTGTGGTGTTGGGAGCTTTGGCTCATACAAATTACAGTTTTTGGCACTGTGCCAGGTTACTTTGACTCGATACAGTGACACACCCACGAAGGTGATCCAGCAAGGGGGATTGCCACCTCAATTTTGGTGGCTGAAGAATACTGCCTGTGGCGAGTTTCATTGAAGGAGTGACTGGTTAACAAAGCCAGTGATGCAGGGCTCTATCCTCAAGCCAAGGCAAGTCATCACCTTGCAACATTTTTTTCTTTGATAATAAAACAATTTACTTGGTAGTCAAAATCTTTTAACAAGATCAAAATAAAGATTCATGTATCCTAATTACAATTTCAATGTGTTCTTTCCGATCTAGTGCACTGTCCATGAAGCGTCGTACTGTCACAGTGGTGCTGTGATGAGCATTCCAATTTATTGTTTTGTGCTAATATTCTGAGGATGTGAATTAGTGAAGCTGTTTTATACACAGAATTTCTTTCACATTCCTTATCTCTGTAAGACAGAACAAAAAATAAACTTGACTAGAAGAACCAGCCAGATAAGTATCTCTCATGGCATCTAGAAACAGAAACCGGCTATTGATAACAACAGCCTTGTTGTAATGCTGTCAAGATGGTGCAGGCACAGTGTGGGCGCAGTGAAACACCCAGAACAGAGTTGAATGCCGGAAACAACGTGTTACGTTTTGACGGGAACCCCGTATTTTGCCTTGAAAAAGACGGGGCTCCCGTCGACTCGATCTTTATGACTTACACGAGGAACTTAGCGCCAAGGCCAACCACCTTGGCGGCTGAGATCAGACCCTCAGTCCAGCGGTGGTTCCGACTGTAGAACTCCTTCTTTGACGCAGAGCCCTGGGGAGCGGACACAAGCAGATCATGCTTATTAATGAAAGATGCTGCTGTTTCAAGGGCTCACTCATGTCAACCCCTGTGCCCTATAGTGCACTTGTGCCACACAAAGTCACCAGTTGCTGAAAATGGTAAATTTTGATTGAAAAGTGACTGTTTAGGATCAGACACAGGCTGCTCGATTTTTCAGCCATGCGTCTGTGATATCGACTGGTAACTTTCGTTCAAAAAGCAACTTTCCTGGTTTTCTCCTTGATTTGCAGTTGTGTGACGGCAAGAAAAAAAGTGAGCCAAAATGGTCGATTTGCAATTTGAGTAGTGACCAACTTGGTTGCACGACCTTGGAGGGCTTCCAGTGCCAGTGAGACTGAATTTACAATGAGCCTGAATATACAAGAGTTATTAGCGGTGCTCGTGCTTGTGTTGCTTCTTCTTATCCCCGTTTTTTTTTTTTCACACAACTGTTAAGAAGCAATACTCATATGCATTCATTCTAAGAAATTGTTTTTATTTTAGGGAACTACCTAATTACTGTTATTTTGCAAAATCAGAGAAAAAAAAGCACATTATTGTATTCTCTTGCTAAAAGAGATGTCATTTACCCAATAGTGAACTTGCTCTGAAAACACAATACTTGAAAATTCATAAGTTTGTTCTGATCCAAACGATCCGACATGTTTTTCCAGAATACAATAATGGAGTCTTCCAAGAACAATTGAGAAATTTTTGAGCGAAATTGAGGGTAAGGTTTTTATTTTAGATTTTTAAACTGACCAGTAGTTTTCTTTGTTTCAAGAAAAAAATTCATTTCTTTGAAAATTACTAGACAAATTAAAATGCAGACGATAAGCACTTAAGGTATTATCAGTGCTGTAAATATGAACAAACTGTGACGTACACGGAAGCAAAATCGGGCCTCAAAAAGGAGTGAATTTCATCAACATGGTATCTTTCGAGAATTCTTAAAAATATAGTCATACCTGGATATAACAGAATTGATAAATTCATGAAAAAATTTGTTATAAAGAGAATTTCATTAAATGCAGGTTCGGTACGAAAATTCATAAAGTAAATGAGCAAATTAAACAAAAGGGAGACTGAAGGCATAACTAACACAAAACACTTATTTTACAGTAAAAACTACATTATTATTGCGATAGCAATTATATGGACACTCTCGGCGGGTTTTAGCCATCACCGCCATGTTCGTAACAAGTCCAAACTGATAACATGCCCCCACGGCATCTTAACTTTCACGAGCGAGTAAAAGCGTGCGAGCGCTGCTGAAGTAGAAATCAAATGAGTGGGCCCATCCTTATTGCCTGGAAAGTGCATAAAATAACACCTTCTGCGAGTTAGGACTGCCGTCAAATGCTCAAACAGAAAGTAAACCACTCGTCTTGGCCGGGTATGAAAGAATGCGGGGAGGGGGGATCGCTTGAGTAGCAATAATGAACTTGGATTTTAAGGGGGGTTGCGATTGCTAGCGCGCTTGCTATCTCGGCGAATATCAAGGCGGTTTCAACGCGAAGGTACTGTGTGAAAACAGCACTTCTCCCTAAAGCGGCTGCGTCAGCTCACACCAGCGTTTTGTAGGAGTTCCGCGATATCGGATCCAAAAGAATTGGCTGCGAGCCTAGCTTCTTATAAAATTACAATTTTTTGCTGTTACATTCATTGCACTGCGTTTGACACGCCGCTGTGTAGCTAGAACTAAATTGGCTAATTGTAAAAGCTACCAGCCTGCGAACTCGCAGCGCAAGATGGAATGGCGTGGCGAGTCGACCTTCGAAGATCCTTGGAAGAGTTTCCATCCGCGCCTAAACTGACATCCTCTCGGTTGTGATAACACGGTTGTTCGAAATTAAGGAAAGTCACAGTTTTGTTGCAAGGGCGATGCAATGAATGCGATAAGCAACAACTTGGATTGTAACGCTGAGAAAGGCAAGCAGATTGAAACGTGCAGCACGTTGTTCACGCACAAATGACGCATGAAAACAACATACACAGGACGAGAGCGAACTAACAAGGTTTACCGCTCGACACTTAACGTGCTGTTTAAACAAAACAAGTCACGAAATTTAATCACAAGTACAGATATAAGTGTGAAGTAAGAAGTGCCCCAGTTGTTACTTCGCTGTGTTTCAAAAGCGCCCTCTTTTCGCAAACAGCACCTGTCCAGCGAGCGAAGTGATCTTTGCGGGCCTGGCAACTAAACGCAATCAATCTGGTCAAAGTCAGAGGCACGCGATTGTGCCCATTGAAGAATAAGCGTGCTCGCACAAGCATCTAACCCCCCCCTCCTCCCCCTATTCCCGCGGCAAAGTACGCGTGGGAGATCAGCGCGTGTCGGCGCATCGTGATGAGCTGGGCACCGAGCGAAGGGGGCTTTTCTTTTTTTCTTGAGTTTTCATTTATATATAGACACGTATACGTATTCCATGAACGGCAGTGGAGGCCACGGCAAAAAACCAGCTGAGACTGTCCATATAACTGCTATCGCAATAAAAAAGAAAAAGAAAGCAAAGCTGAACGTCGTCGGGGGCCACATCATGTGCGCGCAGTGGACTATGCATGGGCGCACGGTGTTGAAAACGAAGAGCGAACTGCACTGACACAGACACGGATACCGAGGAAAACTATCGGTAAAGCGCCCTCCATATGCAGTGCGGCCCCACATGTGAGGCTAAAGGCTAACTAGAAGCGTGGCACTGCCAACGTGCAAAAGTAGGTTTTTTTTTTTGGTTTGGAGTGGGGGGGAAGGCACACCCGTGCATGCCCCGCAGCGGCGAGAACGGCGGCAACACTGGCTTGTGTGGTGCAGGCCCGCTCACCCACGTGCAACATGAGCGCTCGCGCTCGCCTGATGCGCCGTGCGCGCCGCCGCCGCTTAGCGCTTTGTCAGCAGCGGACCAGCCATGGGAGATGCAAGCTCATACCAAAATTCCAAAATGCGGAGCGAAATTCTCCGTGGGGAAAATTCATTATATCAAGGTTGTCTCTTGTTGCTACTTTGTTATATAGAGGTCACAAATACATGTGTTTCTATGGACTGATGGCGGGGAATAGAAAAACTTCGTTATAGCGAGGAATTCGTTAAATTGAGGTTTGTTGTAAGCAGGTTCAATTGTACTTAGGTTCCCAGAATTCGAGAAGATCAAGTGAGCTATTCCTTGCTTACTTCTAGCTGTTCTAAGCAAGAAGATATTTGTGGCGTATAGCATGCGTCGCTGTTAGCATAATTGCAAATTCATGGAAACGCTCTGTTCGTAAAATGGTCATCGTCACCCGGTGATGCTTCTCGCTTTTTCCTTGGTTCTAATGTTTTTTTGTTTGAGAGCAAAATGTGATTTGGAGCTATTCGATCATACAGATATATTACACAGAAATAAGAATAAAACTGGAGATATCAAGTACCGTAACTACTCGAATATAACGCGCACCTTTTTTCCGATTAAGCGAGTACATAAATTGCATGCACGTTAGAATCGAGTACGAAAAGAAAAAAAAACTGAATACGGTCATTCTATTGCCATCGACATATCCAAAATGGCTGCCCCCATGTGCATCGGCATGGCGCTTCGGCCATTTCTGCCTATATGTTTCCCATGTGCGGCACTTCGTACGTGTGCTGAAGAGTTCGTCATCTTGTAGTGCATTATCGACGGTATGGAAGGACCGACTCCAAAAACTCGAGTGCACCACGATGCCGCTTTTAAAAGAATAGTCATCGCGTGTGTAGAAACGGACGGAAATGGGCCGCATCGCGGTCGTTCGGAGTTCCCGAAACGTGCGTGCGGGACTGGCGGAAACAAAAGCACAAGATTGTCGACAGCAAAGCTTCATGCAAAGGCTTCAGTGGACCACAGCAGGGTCGGTTTCCGCAAATTGAAGAGCTGCTCGGCGAGTATGTGCTTGAGCAGCGAGCGGCACAGCGGCCCGTGACGACAAAACTGCTCCAAGTGCGGGCTATGCAGTTAGCCTTAGAATAGAAAAAGGGCTAATGCGGAGCCAGTTTAAAGTGAGCAGGTGCTGGCTAACTAACTTTATGAAGAGGAAAAGCTTTTCCCTCCGAAGGCGAACGGGCGTATGCGAGAAGTTTCGAGAGAAGTACGATGAAAAGCTTCACAGTTTTCAGAGGTTCGTCCTAAACTTGCGGCACAACAACGGCTATCTGCTTGGGCAAATCGGGAATTCCGATCAGACGCCTCTTTACTTGGACATGCCTCGTCGGACACAACCGTCGAGAAGAAGAGGGCGAAGCAAGTTCGCGTGCTGACATCGGTCCACGGTAAAACTGCAGTGAGGGCAATGCTCTGTTACGCGTCAGATGGGCACAAGCTTCCCCTGTACCTCATATTTAAATGGAAGACGCTCCCGAAAGAAGTCGTTTTTTCGAGTGGTGTGATCGTGCGGGCCAACGAGAAAAATAGATGCGCGTTGCAATCAATGTCTTACTTTCTTTTTTTCGTCGTCGAAAGAGGGTGCGCGTTACAATCAAGGGCACGATAGAATCGAGTAAATACGGTATACCATGTTTTTTAATCTTTCGTAGAATCGACCTGTACGACATAAAGCCATAGCATGTGAAAGAATCCCAAGTATTCAAAATTAAATGGAACATTTGACCACTGTGCTTCTTATAACCTGAGTTGCTTTGTAATGTTAAATCCCATAAAACAAAGAAACCGATCGACTATCGTAAAGTTCCCCACCTAAGGTTCATCAAAAGAAGAGAATATGGAGGTCCGAATTTCATTTCAAAATTTTCCACCAGAACCTCTGCGCATGAATGTTGTGCAACTGATGCATGAATGACACTAGAATGTCAGCCTGATGACACAAATTTCACATAATTTTTCTGTTTTGTATTTTGGCAACATCGACTCATCCAAATTGGCTAAAATGTATGTTGTGCCCTCAGATGACTGTGCACACTTCATTTTCACTGGCTAAGGACTACTATTTAGATATAGTAGACTCCGTTAAAATCGATGACATTGCAGAGAGACGGTGTCAGAACTTCTACGTGGTGTCGCTGCTTTCGTTTTTTTTTTGTATGTTTTCTGACTTACCAAATGTCTTCTTGTTGTGAGAAGAGTTGTGGTATTGTGAAAGGGTAACTTAACAAAAATGTAAGAAAGATAGAGAAAAAAAAAATATATATATATATTTTTTAGTTTTAGTTTCCCTGTTCAACTCACCTTCTCCTTCGCAACTATTTCTTCCTGGAGGTGTTTGGAGCTCTTGACCAGTTCTCGGATCGCCTGCACGACAACAACAACAGAGTAAGGTGGGAAACTAAACTTGTGTGACAGGCTCTTCAGTTTGTCCAAGCCGAGCAATTCATAGACGTGCATTCTACATGTTCACTACACGTCTTGCAAAATATTAAGGTCACCAGAACACACCATTCTTGTCTGACAAGCTAAGCAAGAGAGAGAAGCTTGCCGGTTTATTGAGACCTCACTACCTGCAGGTTCGCATTCACATGCTCGAGTGAAACCCCATTATCCTGAAGGTATTGTGACTGGAAACTAGCGACAGAGCGGAGCATAAGTCAGAAAAAGAAGGTGGAACTCATTCAGACTCGCTCAAGAAATATACCTTGCACTTTGGACTCACTCAGACTCAGGCTCACCAAAATTTTTCGGGGGCAAACTCACTCAAAGATTACTCACCCGAACTCACTCAGACTTATGGCTTGATCCGAGTCTGAGCGAGTCCGAGTGAGTCGACCGATAAGTGAGGTTGCCGACCTATGGAGTGGAGGGCCAGGCCAACACACTTTAAATAATTTAGAATAATACGCATGTAACGTAGTAAACGTCACTATAATCAATGAAGTAATTTGATTATAATAAAGGCTTGCCCTTATCTCTGTTATTATAAACCGCAAGTTTTTTGGTAAGAGCGATGTTTGGAAGAGTATTTGAGCAGTACGGCTTGGATTGATGTTCGCCCTTGGCATTCCTTTCACTACACGCGTGATAAAAAGCAATAGCACGCATGAATGCAGCCCGCTTCGCACCTGCATGAGCCCCGTGCAGGCATCGAGGATCTTGCTGTTCACTTCCAGCTTAATACCCGAGTCACCCTCTCGCGACTTGTTCAGCATGTCCTGCACAGAGAACACAAAGAGTTGGAGGCTCCATCACACAGTGAGAGCAGTCTCTACGAAGAAATATACACAGCTGAAAGCAAAAAGAAAAAGGCAGACGAACAGCAAAACTTATTTTAGGGCAATTTAATGTTTAATCTCGCCTAACCGCAGCAGAAATAGAAGCTTGCCAGATTGAGCAAATAAAGCGCCAACATTTGAAAGAATAAGAAACTGTGGATATTTCAAGCAGTGCGAGAGCCAACAATGCACGATGTACACTGCGGGTAGCTGCCTATCTAAAATTGCTGTGGCTGTCGCATAGTTTTACCAGACGATGCAATGCGACAACATGAAGCGGGCGACTCACATGTTCACAAGTGTAAATGACGTGCAATGGCAACAATGACACAGATCGCTTGACAAGAACAGCGAAGACGATATGGCAACAGTGCGTTAATTAATCAATCATGTTGCATCACTGTAAGGTCACCGATGGTTTTGTAACAGCTCCTACCAACTCCAATGTAGTAGAGTGAACAAGGTAAGCGAACCCGAAAGGAAATGTATGGCATAGCATTTCAAAGCACCGGGTTGAGTGTCGGCCTTGTGACCTGGAGCTCCATAATGAACATTTACAATTGCTCAAGATGAGGATGCCAAAGAAGTAACCCACACAGCGCCAAATTTGTCCTTCATGAAGTGTCCTATCTGCAGCGTCGTCCTCAAGCCACACTCACTTGCCTGAGTTAACTATCTCCTAAAAGAAGCTGCGATGATCTCAGCCATAGCGAGTGTCGATACTCACGCGGTTTTCAGTATAAAAAAAGCTCAAGCGCTTAGCAACAAATCATTCGGTTTCCTGTCATACGGCATTACATCACTTCACTATCTTGTGCACTAGAAAACATCGATTGCGCTAACTGCTACCAGCGATGAATTGAAGACAGCGGCATGCAAACCGTGCCACCTTGCACATAAGGAGAACGCTAGTGTGTTTCTGAACAAAGTAACATCATTTTAGGTAGTGCCACACAGTAGGAGACACAAACGACAATGCAAGACATGAACCTGTGCATCCTGCTATCGACACAACTTCACGAGTTCTGCTCTCCTACGTCATTATTCCCAAGCTCGTCTTGCCACGTGAAGCCACACCTTTTGCAGCGCGCGAGTTCTCACCTGGATGCGCTGAGCGGCCTCGTCAATGGCACGGTCCATCTGTGCCAGCTCGTCTTCCAGAAGATCTCCCAGCTTCTGGGTGTCCGCCTCGCCCAAGGAATTGGACAGGCCACCGCTCGCTCGAGCCACGGCTTCAAGAGACGCGTGCACGGCATCCAACCGTGCGCGCATTTCGTTGCCGCAGGCTGCTCCGCCACCTACGACAGTTAATATACGGTTGAAGTTGACTTTCTTTTCAACAGAAAGTAATAAAATGAAATTAAACAATGTTTATCAGTATGAAATGCAGAAATGGCACTCAATTAAAGAATGAAAGCGACAATGAAAGCAATCTACAGTGTGGAAACAGGCGAGAGGCTACTAAAAAAACTTCACCATTGAAGGGTCAAGTATATTTCATCAAATGCAAACTCCCATGATAGATCTTTCTTATATTGCAGGTTTCAACCATTCCTGGCGGCCTATTTTTGAAAAATTTACCGAAAATTTTTAGAGTGACCTTAAAGTGAGGAGATATTCTCTGTAGGTGTAAATGCCTTGCTTGTTGATGAATGGTACAACTGAGCACCAAGATTCACGATGGGCTAGGCCAGCCGTCACAAAACATAAAATTTTCTCCAGTAATTAAAAAAAAAGTCCACATGCTGTGTAGTAATGAGCACCAGTAATAATGATCACCGACATCCCGAATGGCAACTGGCAATCATGCAGAGCTGGCTACAACGTTGCTGCCAGCCCTGAGAAACAACCAACAGTAAAACCCAAGTTGTCACGTTGCCCGAAGTCATACTTATGAGAACTGATAGTTCGAACAAAACTCTAGGGTCTTCAGATGTTCAAACTATCAAGAGCTTGCTGTGTACTGGTGTCACACGGACACTTTTGATTGATATCGTGGGGCCAATCCAGATAAATTTTAATGCAGACCAGTAGCTGCTACACCATCATCTTTAACTGCAATCAGGCTCAATTAAGATCAAGATGATCACTCAATGTATCGAGATCAGACTACCAGATTGCGACTTGACTGACATCGGCCTCAAACTCAGTTCAGATTAGGTTGTACCATATAGCAGTGAGCATTGTTCATTGCAATTGAGTAATCGGCTTTGGATCAGCCTTGCGCAATGGATTGATTGATTGATATGTGGAGTTTAACATCCCAAAACCACCATATGATTATGAGAGACGCCGTAGTGGAGGGCTCCGGATATTTCGACCACCTGGGGTTCTTTGACGTGCACCCAAATCTCAGCACGAGGGCCTACTACATTTCCACCTCCATTGGAAATGCAGCCGAGTACCTTAGCCACTAGACCACAGCGGCAGGGCAGCCCCGCGCAATCGAAAGTGTCCGACACAGGTATTAAATAACAAAAAAGATGCCTCATTTACTGAGAAAGTTAAAGGAGACCCACGCACCTTCAGTCTTGAGAGATTTGAGAAGTGCCAGCGACTCTGTTCCCAGGAGACGACAAGCTGAGGCGAGCTCTGAAAGAAGATACAGGTAGAGTGAATCGGTGACCAGGTTGGCATTGCACTTCAGTACTGAAACCACAGTGCAAGAAACGCACAAACAAGGTATCGCACTATAAAAGAGCTTGTGTTGCACGGCGTCTTCGTTTGTCACTCTGCCTGTGCCCTCGGTTCCACACAAAGGTAGTAGATTACTTTTGCAAAGTTCACACATAATATTTTGACATAAAAGAACTGCTTGAGAGAAATGAAAGCTGAACAAAATTTTAATATTGAACTCATGTGAATGTTGCAAATTTAATACTAACTGAAATCTTTAAAAGCAGGTAGATATCAACAAGATTTACTGTTAACTACAGTTTAGCTTGGTATGTCCTTCCAGTCCAATGTAATAAGCAATAAAGTTGTTAGGTGGATGGGTATGATGTTTGCTTCACTTAAAATTGTTTCTAGGTTCAATCAGCGAAAAACTCTCCTTGCAGTCACATGGAGATCACCTTTTCTATAAAAAATACTGTCACTGACCAGTTGTTTAGACACCCATATCAGACATGCTGAATATTTTTGAGAACAGTGCAGCACCATTGTCTGACCAATAGATGCAGTGCATAATGATAACAAATATATCAGATGCTTTGCAGTTTGCCATTGAGCTCATTTGGAATCCAAAACAAGCATTAAGTGACCTGCTTTTTGCCTCGACACAATGACGTACATTGAGTAGCACTGACAATTGGGCGAGTTGGCATAGTTTTCAAATGGTGTGACAAAGCAGACAAAAAGACGATTGATCAGACGTCACTCCTGTTTGTGTGACAGTCTTTGGTCTGCTTTGTCGCACCATTTTAAATGAATGACATACATCTCTGAAATTGTACTATCAGAATGCTTTCAAGAGTACCTATGCTACAGGACTAAAATATCAGGCTGTGAATTTGTCAAAGCCCAATCTCCATGTTTTTTTTTTTTATGTGTAGTGCACATCTAACATTTCTTTCTTAAGCATAATAGCTAGCGCTGTGCGAATATCCAAACTTTTGAATACTTCTCGAATAGCGTTCGCTATTCTATTTTCACTGAACTTCAAAAAAAAAAAGCATGAAATACAGTCGTGCCCGCTTATAACAAACTTGAGAATCACAAGCCATTTTTCACTGTACCCAAAGTTTAAAGTAAATGAAACACAGCTTTAAAACAATTGCGAATAAAAACAAAATTTTTTTCTAGGAAAAAAAAGTTCGTAATGCAAGTGTTTTGAGGAGCAGAACTGATTATGATCTCGAGGTTATTTAAAGCGGCAATGTGTTTTTTCCCGAGGACCTTGGCATATATAAGCTGCCTGCATGCTCGTGGGCACTGGCTCCAAAGTTTTGTAATTTGTCATCATCCGACTCCTCCATATTTCTCTTGCCCTGCACTTTATTCATAATGCGCTCATCTATGCATGGTTTCGAAGCTTCAGCATCATCATCGGTCGTAACAAGTCATCTCAGAAGATGTCCCATTCTTCCATGTTAAAGTCGATGGCATGATCGCGCAGGACGTCGACGAAGTCAGCCTCACGAACAGTTTCGCACACATGTAGTCGTTAATTCCACCCACAAAGCCTTCACCATCTTCACAGTTGAATACAGGTACACCGGAAGTGGCAAATGGCTGCCGGGAGGCAGACAATTATGAGCAAGCGCTCTACAATGCGTCACCTAAAATAAGCTTTAAACTCCCAGATTACGCCGTTCATTTCCGATGTTCATGAAATCCATGAACGTCAGAAATAGCCACAGCAGTCTAGCAACCACAAAACAAATATTGAAGCTACTATAGCTTAGTCAAGCCAATACAGCAATCGCACATGTTCGCACGCATCAAGCAGCAATCGACGTCTCATCGTAAAACTTGAGATGAAAAAAAAAAAAAAACGGCAGTACAATGCACTTTCGCCAGCAACGAAAGTAAGGGTCATCCAAGAACTTGACCACAACAATCTATCAAAGACAGAAATTATAAAGAAGTTCAATATTCCCAAGTTCATGCTGTTGAGGATACTCAAGAACAAAGGGAGCATTGAAGAAGCTGTCAAGCTTGGGAACTTCGCCACGGACAGAATGCGGACGAGAACGGCAGTGTACAAAGGAATCAAAACCCTGCTTTTCTTCTGTTTCAAGTGTGTGCGCAATGTGAACTTCCCAATCAGTGGCCCCGTTTTGGAAGAGAGGGCGAAAGAGATTGCTACTCAGATGGAGATCAAGGACTTTCGGGTGATCGATGGCTGGCTAAGCCGTTTTAAAAAACGGCATGGTCTTGTCTTTAAGACAGTTTCTGGAGAAAGTGCATCTGTATACACAGATATCTGTAGCCACTGGCAACAAGGGAGGTTGCAAGAAATTTCGGAAGCCTGCGAACAGCGGGAAGTGTTTAAGGTTGATGAAATGTGGTTGTTTTACAAAGCACTCCCAAGTAAGACTTGCTTACAAGGGGAAAACCTGTGCTGAAGAAAAGTGAAGCAAAGATCGTATTATGGTGCTAGTAGGTGCTAACATGGACTGTAGCGAAAAGTTGAAGATGGTTGTTGTTGGGAAATCAAAGCACCTACACTCTTCAAAAGTGTGCGCATGATGCCTGTCACGTACCATGTGAATAGAAAAGCTTGGCAAAAGCAATTTTTCAGACGTGGTTGTGCGAAGAGAACAGAAGATTTATTCAGCAGAACAGGAAGTCAGCGAACGGGAAGTTTATTTTTATTGTTGATCAATACCCTGGTCATTGTCAAGCGGATAGACTCATATCCATCAGCCTGGAGTTCCTGTCAACAAATGCGACAGCAATCCTTCAACTGATGGACCAGGGCATTATTCAAAACTTGAAGGTTCTCTATCGCCACCAAGTTCACCAGCAAATGCTTTTTTGTGCAGACAACAAAAAGATTACAATGTGGACTTGGTCTTAGCTCTTCACATTCTAACCAATGCCTGAGAATGTGTGAAAGTGTCAACTGTGCAAAAGTACTTCCACCATGCAGGATACTCAAGGCAAGAAGTCCTTCCTAGGCTTATGCAAATACTCTAATGCTTCGAATATAGGAACTAATAGTAGAGTATTCGAATCCACTTCGATTCGAATTTAAATGATTGAAAATTTCTAAGTATTCGCAATGAACGAATAGGTGTATATCAGTCCACATGTAACCAGTTGTAGAAGTGGTTTCACAGCAGTGTAGGGATGCCAGACCGCGAAAACACCCGTCCAGGAAAGATGCGCTCTGCCACGAAGTCCCACTTCAAATTCAAAGGGGCTCTGCAACACTTTTTCAGCACGGTCACAAAACGCTGCCGCTCGGTGGACGAGGCCACCATGAACATGTTAGGCAAATATTATAGTGCAGCACGTTGCCTGCATTCAAAATAAAATTTCAAAGTCAGTTAAAAATTACTCACTTCTCTGGGCAAATAACGCCACAAGCTTAAAAGTCAATCGACACAGCTGCTGTATCAGCTATTGCCCGATTTGAACATGGGGCACTCGGTCGTTACTGGGGCCGCAGCAGGAAACCGCCACTTGTACAGGTGTATGTGCACGATCCCCATAAAAAGCAGGGTACTCAGAAAGAAAAAAAAGAGAGAGAGAGAAAGAAAGTGCTCAAGATTCACAAGGTGCGTGTGATGTATTTTGTTTCCCCATGGCATCCCTCCATGCTTAGCCTCCAGCACTTTCGTCAGCACGAGAAGAGAGAACGCAATCGCAGCGTGCGACAAATCTTTGCAACTCCGCTCGTACTAGACATATTCTAAAAATTTCTGCAGCGGTGGATCCGGGAGGCAATAAGATTCTTTAGTGAATTCATTCCATAGGGTTGCAGGGTTTATTTCAAGTGTTGCAGGCTTTATTTAACTGAACATATTAAACTCAAATCGTTTCATCATTTTTTTAAGGCCTAAAGGCTTTCGACGGCTTATATGCTCCAATATAAAGTATAAAATGTTATGTATTTTACAGGTTATCACTTGCTTCATACTGAAAGTCAGATCCTGCTACTACTCAAAGTTGTTGCTACTACTCAAAAGCCATGTGCATAAAGGCCTTATTTTCATTAAAAAATGTTGTGCAGGATAGTTAGGTCATTATAAATATGCCCAATTTTTTTTTATATGCCATACAGTAGACTCTCAATAAACGGAACTTGAAGGGATTGGGAAAATGTGTTCCATTTAACAGGAGTTCTGTTTACTGAGAGGTGAAGTGGGTTGCAGCATTCAAGTATGAAATCAATCATATCAGAGGAAGTTGTCCCCTTTAAGTGGCAGCTTCGTTTAACAGATTTCTGTTCACTGAGAGGCCACTGCATATACTACTCGAATTCGATTCAAAATTATTGAGCGAAATCACTATTCTCTTCAAATTGGCTTCGAACCTGAAATTTACCATTCGCACAAGCCTAATCGTTCCAGATGAGGAAGACAACAGTGCTGAGGCTGAGGAGGCTGACATTCTCTTCAGTCAGGTGACACAGTCTACTTCTTTCACGCGAAAGGACTAAGAAACACTTGGCACAAACATCCCAACATGCCATGAGGACAGCCTTGAGGAACTTGTAACTGAACTTCAAGATGAGGACCTGGGCTCAATAAACATGAGGTGGTGTGTTGTTCCCAACCCATTTCAGTGCCAGACAGTGCAGCGAGAGATGCTGTCATCCTGTTGCAGCGCTACTTTGAACACGATGGTGGCACAGAGTTTTTACCCAATCTTTCAGCAATGCACTCCTACCTTGTGAGAAAGTGCTTTAACAAGGCTAAGCAAATTGTTATCACCTCCTTTTTCCCGAGTCAGCAATATTAGCAACATTCTTCTTTCTAATCAACTATAGTAGATTTGTATGCTCAAAATGTTTTGTTCAGTCAGCCACAGTTAGTGCTTTTGAAGTAAAGTCATATTTCATAATTTTGTGGGCTTTATTTGAATGAAACTTCTCATAAATAAAACAAATTTTCTAGCCCCTTCGAGTTCTGTTTAAAGGGTGTCCACTGTACCATGAAGCGCCCCCCCCTACGGTTAAGGATAGTCCGACCAGATTTGATTTGGGAAGAGGGTGTTTGCTTAGTGCTGAACCGAAATAGAAGATGGTGGCCAGAGAGCCGCTAAAAATAGAAATATGTCTATTCATGTTTCCAATACGAAATGCTTTATTTATTTATTGTTTTTGTTCCCTGTTGACCTTGTCAAACTCTACATACAACTCCTCAGTCGGACGCAAACGATAAGCCTGTGTGCTCGGCCAGCAGAGATCTGCAGTCTTTCGGCGGTGCATTACTGACATTGAAAGCCTCGTGTGCAGCGCACCACCCTCTGAGCCATCTAGTGAATCGGATATGCCACACCCGGTGAATGATTGAGTCACCGTTTCTACTAAAGCAGCCGCCCAAGCCTTGGACACGAAGCACAGGATATCTTACCAGGACAGTTTTTAGAGGTTTCAGAAGGGGTGGGAGAAGGCACTTGCTCGGTAATTGGCGCTTATTTTAGATCTACCGAAAAAGGGAGGAAAGTGCTTCGTTTCTACTAAAGCAGCCGCCCAAGCCTTGGACACGAAGCACAGGATATCTTACCAGGACAGTTTTTAGAGGTTTCAGAAGGGCTGCGAGAAGGCACTTGCTCGGTTATTGGCGCTTATTTCAGATCTACCGAAAAAGGGAGGAAAGTGCTTACTCAGGTGCTCGGCATTTTACGGTAACCTAAAATATGCTTTGAGATTTTCTGTAACATTTTTTTTGTAACTTCACATCAAGGTAATTGAGAAATATTTGAGAAATACTAGAATATTATTCAATGCACACACAAAGCTTTTTTGATGGAATTTGCTTTGCATTCAAAATTTTGCTATTCGCACAGCTCTCATAGAGCAACGATACCTAGGAAGGCTTAATAACTTACACACATGATATTTTGTCCGTTCAATTAATAAAAGCTTTATTTTGTGATGAAGAAGAGAGGAATACTCAAGAATGATTATTGCCAAGAAAACTGCAAATTTTCGACTATTGAGTTGACGCATGTTTCTGAGAGTTCTGTAGACGGCTCATGTCAACTGTAAGGTGGTTTTCACCTCATGGTGCCTGAGCATTGTAGTAAGTGCAGTTGTCACCGAGTGAAGGTACGTGCAGTCATGAGAACCGCTTGCTTTTTGGGGGGCTAGGCGACGCTTGTCGCCGGTCGTCTCTCAAGGAGGTCTACGGAGACAATTCCGTGGATTGGTCTCATGACTTCTGCGGTGAGTCGAATGCCAGTGCTGCCGCATCCAAGTTACTTTAAGTGTTCCACGTTTTTGTGAATCTTGTATTGGCATTCTAGGCTGTTATTTGTCATTGTACTCTAGTTGCTTATAATATTCAGCTGACAGGCTTGCTGTAGTGTAAGAAATGTCAATTAAATGTCCATGTGTTTGTTTGCACGATGGCCTGAACCATATCTGTTTGTTCATGAGAAGTTCACTCTGAAGAACCGACAGCATAGATGGCTTGATAACAAGACATTGCATGTGCACCAATCTGTTGCAAGTGCAGCATTTCTCAGATGACGTGTGCACTCCTCCTCACCCAAGTCCTGTTTTTTTTTTCTCTCACTCCTTTTCACTTATGTTACACTTTCCTGTTTTTATTTTGTTCTAACATATGCAAGAAGTAGGGGCAGCAGCTACCAGAAGGCTGTTTTTTTTTTTAAACAAAAGGTGTTCTCACCATCTCCAAGCTCAATGTTTGGGGACACTTGTGACACGCCTTTGCCTGCTGCCATCAGCTGCGATACAACATGGGCCAGAGGACACACTGAACAGATCAGCTCCTCTGCATCTGCAGTGATCGAAAAGAAAACGACACTAAGTCAAAAAACAGTTCCAGCATGTATTCTCATAATTAAAGCCACTGGTAAAGAAACAATGGCTTGTGTCTAGTTGGAACAGAGAGCATGTTAGCAAATCAATTAGTGCCACATTGATTGTTGAGCCAGTTGGTGCGTCATGATAAAAAAAAAGAAGACAGAGCATACTTCTTTCCCCACCCTGCTTCCCACTCAATTACGCTACAAAAAGCATTTTGTAAAACCTTCATTGGAAGCAAAGTAAGCAAGTACAGAGAATGAAAGTAGGTCAGTTGTGCTCCTGACTGACATTCCGTAGTTTATCTGCACTGGCAAACATACCAGATTTACTCAAGTAATGAACCCATTCACATAATGAACCCACCCCCCACCTTGGTCCTTAAGAAAAAAAATCTATTTTTTAATGTATTTGTAAATTTTTTTGTGGTGTGATAGCCAGTGCCGTAGCTGATCGAAAAACCATTAAATCATGCCATTACACTCCACCTCATTATAACAAATATGCATATTACATGAAAATAAGTTTGTTATATCCAAAAATTTGCTATATAGGTTTTTTCCTACCACTGAATCTATTGCGAGACTACTTTTCATTTACTTCGCTACAACCGATATTTTTTTATACCGAAATTCGTTATATCGAGATTATGGCACACGCACCAAAATTTTAGCCGCTCCTCTTGCAGCAAAGCGCTGTCAAACGCAGAAGAAACCTCTTTGCTTATAACGTCACCCAAGCACAGCGGCACGAAAACAAAGCAAAAAACATAACGGAACCCACACAGTCACGCCGACTGCGCGAAGTGCACCCACAATGTGCGTGTGCCGCCACCCGACGCGCATTTTTGTTGTCGAGTTTGTTGTAGCGAACTTCGTTTGACACCTGCTGGGCAGGGCATGATCGGCCGATACACTATCTACAGTGCCAGTTTTAAACTAGTTCAAGCAGGTGCTGGAACATGGGAACCGAGCGAGTGGACAAAACTTCTGCTTTGAACAGTGTGTGTTCTTTACTGGAGAAAACAAGAAAAGCTTTGGGCTAGAAAAAAAAAGCTTTGTGCTAGAAAAAAGAATCGTTGCGCATTTTGCTGGCCGAAACAAGGACAGTTTCCCTTTGTTAAGAGCGAAGTTCTCAAATACAGGTTCCATGGACCTACCACCGAATACTAGAAGGCCAGCAGTGGTTGGACAGCGAGTTCTTTAATGTGAAAATTTTTCTGTTATAACTCCCGTGACTTTTTTTTTCCCGCATATTGAACTTTCCCTTCAAGTCGGCATCAACTTTTCTAAGGAAAAAAAAAAAGCATGGGTTCATTTTGCGAGGAAATACAATACTTTGAGAAAGCACATTTCATCGGAAGGCCAGTACAATGACAGTGCACTGATGCTACGAAAATTAGAGATGTTCATAGAGTTTAACAATTTATGACAAGTTACAAACATTAATTGATTCCTGGTGTTTTAAGGCATGACAAGAAAATAGCAGGGGCCTTGAGACATTGAGAATTAAAGCTGACCACAGCACTAAAGGAGCAATGAACAAGTGTCTGCATCGCAACACCACCAAACTATAGCCAGGCAAAATCAGGGTTTGTGATGATCTTGCATACAGAAACCGGTTGCCAAAATGGTTACTGCAGCAGTAAAAATTCATCCCACATGTCCAACTCACAGCAGTTTACTGTCATTGCATGGGAAGCCCAGCCCTTACCATATTTACTCGCATAATGACAGACCTTTTTTCTCAAAAGAGCGGAAGAAAGTTGGGGGGTGCGTTTATTACGCAAGGTAAATTTTATGAAAAGTTCTTCGGTAGAAGACAAAAATGCGGTAATGCAAAAAAAAAAAAGGTAGCTTAGCCTTTTGCAATTTACATACGCATACACTGTTTGGAAACAGCTTCTTTATTGCACTTTACTCATCTTTGATGGTTGATGGCGCTATCCCCTGAAAGCGGGCCCCACCCCATAAAAACGCTTTGCGATTATCTTTTCTCCCAATTGTTTAACCCCAACAGTGGTATCTGCGTGTGATCTAGAGGGGCGCCCTAAAGCGTGTACTTATGGGGGAACGGGGAATGAAAGGACAGAGTGAATAAAAAAGAAAGTAGGCTAAAAAAGAAAGGTGTGGGGGGTTCACAGGAAGGGATCAACGTGGTCACTGGCAGTTTGGTGACCCTCGCTCACTGTGTGCTTATCAGCTGGGATGCTCCTAGCTGTGGCGCACACGTAAGTCATGGAGCACAGACAACACGGGGGAGGTGCTGCGCACAGATAGAAACATAATAGGCATGTAGCAACAGGCGAAGGGGGGGTGGCAGCGATCCGAGGAGGTTGAGGAAGGTCCGCAAAGCAATAAAAAACGGAAGAGAGCCAACCGGTGAGGAGGGGCAAGGTGTCGTTTAGCGGGACTACAGCAGATAAATGTAGGGGATGAGTTTATTACAGATAGAAAAAAAAGCAATACCGCAGGGCATGCAACAATCAGTGAAGGAGGGGGAGGGAACGAGCCAAGGTGGTTGAAGGGGGTTGGCAAAGTAATCAAAAACAAAAGAGAACCAACGAGTGAGGAGGCGCCAAGTGTTAGTTAGCGGGACTGCAGCGAATCAATGTAGGGGGTGCGTTTATTACGTGGTGAAAAAAATCCAAATTTTCATCTCTGAAGTTGGGAGTGCAATTATTGAGCGAGTGCATTCATTACGCGAGTAAATACGGTACTTCATACAGCTTCTTATCCTTTTTTCCATAGGTTCACCCCACAAGCAAGCCACAAAGTAGAACGCATGATCCAGTGTCGATTGACCATAGGTAAATGCGGAGATCTACAGCGCACTTAACAGGAAAAAATGTCAGGATTCACAAGGCCATATGTATGATGAAATATCAACGTTCATTTGAGAAAGTGAAAATGAATGACCAGTACAGCAAGAGCATTGAACGTTGACACGCAATCCAGTGAGGTGAACTTATGCCCTCACTATATTCACAAGACAGACCCACACTTCATACAGGTTGTGTGCACTAAAGTACAATGACTGAACAATTACACGCAAGCTTGCATCAATAACTCGCCCGGCACCTCCGTGATATGAAACATATAAAAATATAAACATTAAAAAAACATTTACTATTTATGAGGTGTTGCCGAGGCTGTCAATATGAACTATCAACACAGGATGTCACTTACCTCATTCCCTCCACAACACTTTTCTGGCTGCTGCATTTGCAGCGCTGCCACAATATATAACGTGGTTGATGTCTCGGCCCGACGTGAAATTTTAGAGTAACAAAAGGAAGTGTCGACTATCATAAGGTCACTGAAATTTATCTGCTTGTGAAGAGAAGACTAATTAGTGGGTTCTATTATATTCCGATAAAATATTTATCTGCAGCATGCTTTTACTCACAGACAAATGACAAACAGGCAGTACAGCATGCAAGCATGACGAGCACTACAGTTGTCCATCAAAAGTGGTGCAAACAGACCTTCGTTGTTCTCTTCAAACTTCTCAAAGCCAGCTTTGAACTTGTCCAATGCCTGTGACACCACGAGCGTCTGCTGCAGCAGGGTCTCTACAAATGAGAACACGGACAAACATAATAAACTCAGACACACAGGCTAAAGGACATGAACAAGGGCATTAAAAAAATTGAGCAACTATGCAGAACTTCAACACAATGCCGTGCCTTCCTTTCTTCCTTTTCTCCTCCTATCAAATCATAAACTACATTTCAGTTAAAGCAGCAGAGTAATCTTAAGCTTTGCTGTAAGTGTTCAGCCGTGTATTCAACCAGAAGGCCATTGGTGTTGCTGCTTTGGAATTGTGTGCTGGGCACGAGCACACAAACGATCAATGCGTCACATTTAAACACATGCACAATAAAGAATAAAAATGAATGGGCACCTCAAACTGAAAATTGTAATTACTGGTGGAATGCTGAACGTTCACACATAAAGATCAATGATAATGGAAATCAAGAGGTATTTTTATCTTTTTTTTTCCAAATGTGAATATGGCATGCACTAACGTTTAACAATTAACCGTCGCAGTGCTTTTTCCTTACTTACTGTTACAGTAGCTAAGAAACTTACAATGATAGTAGGTGCATGTAACCAAATAGCACAAATGAAAATATCGACCTCCATGGCTGTCGAGCTGTTTCAACTGACATCTGTAGCAACAGTAGCTTCGTCGTAAAAAAAATTGCATTTCTCTTGGAATGCGACAACGCACTAACTACGAAAATCGTGGAAAAAAGTAACGCACATATGTTACACACACGGCTTTTTCAAGTATGATGCGCTGATAAAGATTCTGGAGCACTACAGCCCAAAAAACACAAAACAGACAGCACACTAATGATTACGAGCGCTGCAGCAGAATAATGTAATTAATAAGCCCAACTTGATACTTTACTGATAAAGGTGTCTGATAAGGGAACCAGAACCCCGCCTTACAAACCATAAATAAGTGATGTAGCTGATGTGTCAACACGGCATTATCCCGTATGCTTCACAGTAATAATCAGTACTGACCAGGTGTGCCCATGTAGCCTTGACGGCCAGGCCGGTCCATGTCTTCAAGCGAGGCACCCACAATGGCCTCCCCTTCCTGCACCACTCCCGCTGAAAGCAAGAAGTACAGAACCAACGTGCTGAAATCTCTTGAAAGAGGTAGTGGTTTGTGATGCTAAACAGACACTTAGGAGAGAGACAAGAAGTTCACATTAATAGGCATTTTGCCAAAACAATTTTTTCCTATATATTTTCTAGTAATAGGCTGATAAGTATAAGTGAAAGCGAAATTCAGAGTTTTAAGTTCACAAATATTGTGCCGACACTTCAGCAATGACACATCAATGTGACAACATGAATTTCAACATGAATTTTGATTTGGAGTAAGACCACTGCAGTTTAGTTTTCAGAAATTTTAGTGTGTATGCAATAAAGTCAGCTTTAAAAAAGAAAGAGTTACCATGCCAGATTTCTGGCAGCTGAATGTCCGTGACTAGCTTGTGTTGTGTAAAAAGACAAAATACAGTAAAACCCCATTAATTCGAAGTCACTAGGAGTGTGAAAATCTTTCAATCAAGCGGGTTTTCAAATTAATGAAACACAAAAAAAGTGGAATGAAAAGAACATTAAATTATTGGAAGTAATTACAGGTAGTCGTTTGCTGTGCTGGCTAGTTCGCAGCTGCAAGATTAAGTTTTCCCGCAAAACTTGGGCCCAATTTTGTCACAAACGCACGTTAAATGCGTGCACCGCTGCTGCCGGCGAAAAAAAGTTGTATGACCAACTAAAATGGGGGCCTGCGAAAAAGAAGTGCTTCTCTACAACAAAGTGATGACAGGCAGTTAGCATATCAGCTGCTCCTCACAGTACCAGCGTGTCACGATGTGACCAGGTGCCCATTCTTTCTGGTAAAATAACGAGTTTAATAATGGCCGGTGAGACAGAATTTGTTATGTGTTCTGGCTGAAAAACATCACTGAAGTTCTCGAACTGAGTTTTCGAAGTAGCCGTTACAGGCAGGAACTCGGCCAGCAGTGAAAGTGTGCAAATTGTTGAAGCACCACCAATCGTTGAAATCGTTGAAGCACCACCACAAATGTTGAAGCAACCACCAATCAGAAGTTTGCATACATCGTGAAAGGCATCAAACTGGCTTTTGTTAAGTTTTTTATATTTGCAGAAAGAATCTGTAAATCGTGACGCACTGACTTTGTGGGAGCATGCGACGTGCTGCCCGTGTGACACCTCTTTGGCGCAGTAAAGCATGCCTTCTTTTTCGCAGGCCCACATTTAAATCCATTGCAAGATCACCTTTTTTAACACGATATCATGAAAGAGCTCATTTCGCAGAAATTCCAGCATCGTGTCACAAACGTCTGCAATCATCGTTTCGCCTGCACGCCCCATGGTCTAAGGAAGGGCGCTTTTGTGTTGGGAAGATGACACCCGGCGACTGGCGATGCAGCGGGGGCGCTGCCACGTCTTCCCTACACCTGTACCGAAAGGAGAAACATGTGTGGAGGAAATAGAAATGACCTCGAGAGGGGACGGGACGCCCCGAAAGAGTTTGGACTGCATCGGATTCGCAGTTGACGAGCAGCCAGCAAGAAGCGCGGTCGTCGGTGTCGCGAGTCTCGCGTAGGCGGCGAGCATGGAGTGACCCGTGCAACGTATCGAGGCGGCTGCAATACCGGGCACCCTCGTCGTCTACTAAGTTGGCGAGATCTTCAGCGACACCCCGTCAACTCCCCTACGTGTACCAAGAGCTGGCCTGGTCCATATAGAACTTCTTATCGTGGCTTTTTTTAAAATGTTATTTTATTATAACCAGCTTTTAATTAATTGTAGTTGCGTGTGCTGCGTCGCACATAGAAATTCAAAAATGCGACCATGGTCGTTTTCTTGTAAATTTTTTCTCTATCTCCTTCAATTTCCATAATGTAGTTCTTTTATTTATATTCTACGTATTTGTCTTGTCTGTACCTCTTGTAGTGTTCTTTTAGAGTATAGTTTGCTTTGTTGTTTTTTTTCATCACGAACTCTTGTTGTTTCCTCTTATGTTATTGTTGTAATCTCTTGCCAATTGCCCTTGTTTTAATTAAATGCTTATTAGTGTGTAATCAAATCTCTGTGTCTGCTCTACGAGTGCGTCGTTCAGGCTCATACATCACCACAAGTGCAACCCCGCACGGGTCGACCGACCTGCTAATAATCTTGAGATGCGCCACTTCGAGGCCTTTCATGCATTGCAGGCCGAAGCGTACAGTGGAAGCCTGCGAGTCTGCTGCACGTACATGTTGGATCAACGAGGCCTCACCTGAAGTGTGTGACATTATCTGGCGTCCACGACAGGACTGGTTGACCGCGTTGTGATGTCTGGGAGACTGACGTAACTCTGAGCGTTCAGTATGTAGCCGTCCTGTTATTGCTTTTTTGGTTCACAACTGTTTATAGCAATGGACGACACGGAGTTCGTCCATTGCCTTCAAAACCAAAGCCTTTGGTTTTGAAGGCAATGAGTTGTTCAATTTTGTCGAAAAAGAACATAAACTTAAGGAGGAGCACGATGCCGAACGCATTAGGTATAGGCAAGATCTGGAATTTTTGATGGAACGGGAGCGAGAGAATTCAAGGCTAAAAACTCAGAAAGAGAAAAAAAAACGCTTGGGACTGTGTTCAACACAGTCGGGTCTTAGCTTGGCTGCTAGAATGACTAGTAACGTAACCAACCGTGGCCCGAACGAGCAGTCGTACCAAGATCATGTTCAGCTGTTGCGCCGGAAAATTGAAAGTAAACGGCGCGTGCTTGAGGCCTGGGATGCAAGGCACGAACGGGGCGAAAAGACAGAAGGTGCGAAACCACTGAGAGCAGGCCAAAATCATAGTACTGATAAGGGGAACATCCGGTTTACGAGGGAACCTAATGAGTTAGCTGCTGAAAGTACCGTTGTGCCCACAGAGGCCACTGAAGGCTACAGTGATGGCGACGAGGCGCTGGGTCTGGAGAGTCTTGTCGAAACAGAAATGCCATCTGTAATTAACTTGGCACAGCCACCCTGTAAGTGCGTCGCCATGGCAGCTAATTGTGATGTTCGCAGTACAACGGGCCCGACAGGCGAGGACCCCTGCACAAAGAGTGGGACAAAGCCGTGTGTTGGCGCAGGCTGTGGGCTGGGCAATGTTGTAGCAGGTACTTCCTATAGGCGCGAGCAGTGCAGCCCTACGGAAGACACTTGCATTGTTCAGCTCTCAGTTAAGCTGCCCACAGGTCAGGGTGCCGATGAATTAAGGGGAAAACTGGCAATGTTGACCATGCAGCAGTTGAAACCTATGAGGCTAGCTCCGCTCAGCTGATGCTAGCCAATGTTGCCAAAGAGAGCACACCAAAATGTGGCAAGAAAAGAAGACACCGCAAGGAGAAAGGAGTGTCAAACGTTGTAAGAAAAGAAAGAAAGGTCATGCAGAAAATAGGCTTCAAACCTGACACAACACAACGAAAGACACGTTTTCGTTTTGCTGCATTGAGAAAAACATGCCCGCTTGCACATGGCCACGTGAAATGCAAAAGATTTAGGCACGCAATTGTTGCAGGGGCATAGTGTTGCAACGGCGCAGTGCATAGACATTCCTCGTCTTTCCCCTGTCCGGTTTGCCGCACAGAAGGCAGGGGGAGGAGCGTCTTTTGAAAGAGCGGCACGACGTGGTTTGGAGACCCGTTTCTGTAGAACGCGGTGTCGACGATGGCTTGCAACCACGGTGCAAACTAGCGGGAAACAAACGTTCGAGTAGCGGCCGTCAACTGTTTTGTCTGCCCTGGCTGCTTCAAACGGCTCCCCCAGGAGCGCGACCACCTCGAGCACAGATAAAAATTGCGTAGATCGAAACGTTAATGTAACCTTAAAGGCAAACGACTTATTTTTTTGAAACAATGTTCATTTATGTTTTTCGATTTGGAGCATTCCATAGATGGGGGGACCAATAGCTTAGTTAATTCATTGGTTTGCTTGTGTCATCTGTGTGTTTCTGGATGATGTTCTGTTGTTTCAACTTTTTACCCCTTCAGTTAGGGAAGCTTCGTTTTAGGGACATTGTCATATAATTTAGTTTTTTTTTTAAGATACTGGTTGGTCAAGCATGTCACAATACGCATGTGTGATAGACATGGCGCTATGATATTCAAGGCTTCCCTTTCTATTATTATTTTGAAATGAAGCACTTTAGTGTGCAGCAAGTTAAGGAACTGCGCACAGGCGGATCATCTGATTCCTTTCTTGTTCAACTTTTTCGAAAGCTGCGTGTCACTAAGTGACTTTTCTATACCGCTTAAAGTATGTATGTTTGAATACGTGGCATCAGAGGATGCTTATGTGCACTAGCTTTGAACTGTGCCCTATTTTGTTGTTTGCCTTTCGTATGTGTGTGGGTGTGATCTAGTGCGCGTTTTGACTTTCATCGTATAGTGACTGTGAAGTGTAGTGTGTCGTGTGCTCTCTGCGATGTCGTCCACGTCAGTGAAATGGTGTGTGAAAAAGAAAACGCGTTGGTGGACGACCAGAATACCGAAAACACTTGAACAGTGTGCATTTGTGATTTCTTTGAATATTACGCAACAATATTCTTGAGGAGGGCGCTGTGTCACAAAGGTCTGCAATCCTCGTTTCGCCTGCACGCCCCATGGTCTAAGGAAGGGCACTTTTGTGTTGGGAAGATGACACCTGGCGACTGGCGATGCAGCGGGGGCGCTGCCACGTCTTCCCTACACCTGTACCGAAAGGAGAAACATGTGTGGAGGAAATAGAAATGACCTCGGGAGGGGACGGGATGCCCCGAAAGAGTTTGGACTGCATCGGATTCGCAGTTGACGAGCAGCCAGCAAGAAGCGCGGTCGTCGGTGTCGCGAGTCTCGCATAGGCGGCGAGCATGGAGTGACCCGTGCAACGTATCGAGGCGGCTGCAATACCGGGCACCCTCGTCGTCTACTAAGTTGGCGAGATCTTCAGCGACACCCCGTCAACTCCCCTACGTGTACCAAGAGCTGGCCTGGTCCATATGGAACTTCTTATCGTGGCTTTTTTTAAAATGTTATTTTATTATAACCAGCTTTTAATTAA